TTCTTCGGTGAGCTGTGAACACCAAGCTACGATTGGTGAAACAGATAGTGAATCTCTCCCTTTAAAGGGACAGATGCGCCATTCGTTTTTCAACAATCACCTTTTAGTCTCAGAAATGGGAATTCTTTAGCAAAGTCAATCAGTAATAGTGTTCACACCTCACCGTCGAAATTTGAGCCTTCAAATCCATGTGTGTCTAGAATTATCTGGAATTGAATGTCAAAATTATGACTCGTCAATTTAAGATACTCTGTGATATATAGAAAAGACAAATATAGAAATGATGACTAAAATTCCTAGGAAATTTTAAAGGAATTATGCATTTTTCGCACATTTCTAGTACTTCTGAAAACTATTTACATATATTTAAGATTAAAATCAACCCCTTTAAATGGTGCACCTGTCCCTTTAAAGATAAAATATGAATTTTGTGGTGTCTACTTACAAAAGTCGATCGTTCACGGCCTATAACCTGGTCTCTATTGTTATATTCTTTTAGAATTTTATTTATTAGTGGACCTTTAGCTTTTAACACTACAGCTGGCACCAACTGCTTCATATATCTTTCACTAGAAATATACAGAACTTCTGTGTTTTATCAGGAAAAGAAATGAATGGAGTCTTAAGGCTTTTTTCCACGGGACGATTTTTTTCGCACGAAGCGATTTTTTCGTACAGACGCATGCGTATTGATAAGAAGTACTAGAATTTGCAGCCAAAAAAATCGTCACGACCATCGTAAAAGAAGTAGGAATAGGTTTTTTCCTTGGAAATATTCCTTGGAGAACCCTCTCAGACGCTCAATGAGAGGATTTCATCAGGATGCCTCCACAGAGTTGAATTCAGCCTCTACAATTGTCCCCCCATTGAGTCGGTCTGCACGCTATTCGTACCCCCAGTTTCAGGGTGAGTTAGTGAGTTAGCGAGTGACATGAATGTTCAAGGTTCAATCCCGGCAAAAGTCAAGATGAACTTTCGGATTTTTCAACCTGGTTTCCCTGTCAGTGATGCAGGTAAGAGGGTTGACATGGAAAAAGCGTCTAGTCGTTCTGATAGGACTATAAACCGCGACCACATGTGCTACAAGCTGTGTACGTTAAAGATCCCTTGACAGTTGGAATCGAAAAGAGCAGGCTAATGCTGCTGCCCCTCATTGCATGCTGGCTCTAAGGGAATTCATAATAATTAAAATGGGCTAGCATAATACAGACCAAACTTTCGTTCCTTTTTATTAACTTTTATTTGTAATAAAGCCACTTCGGTTAGGGTCTATTGACGGCCATCTTGAACATTTGTGATACCGATGATACCACCAACCAATCAAATTTATGCCCACTCCAATGCTGGGATTTTGTGACGCGAACAAATATCTGTCACTTTTGATATTTTAATATTTAATTTCTTGGATGTATTTATATTTTCATCAACGTGAGAAACATTCTAAGGCTATCCAGTACTATGTTGAAATTTTGGTCAAATTTACAACTTGTAAAGAAGTATTAACAAAATTTGATATCAAAAGTGAGTGCAAACAAAATACTTTGTCTTAAAGATATTTTAAAGAGGTTTTCTTAAGTTTTTATATGTATCAGGGACACCGATAGCATTAATTTGCATCATTCCAATTTCCAATCAGATGTCTGTGGTTCCTGCAATTCCACAAAAACTAAGTGCTTGATGACGTCACTAATTACAAACAGTCTTATGTGAAAAAGCATATTTTGTGATTAGTGACATATTCAAAAACGTAGTTTTTGTGGAATTGCAGGAACCACAGACGTCTGATTGAAAATTGGAATGGTACAAATTGATGCTATCAGTGTCCCTAATACATAAATTTTTTTTTAGAAAACCTTTTTACAATACCTTAAAGTGAGCTATTATAAACAAAAGAGTTTGCGTCACAGAGCAGTCTAATTATTTTTATGACATTTGATAACAGCAGAGCAAGCTGTATTTTTTGTCAACATAATTTCCTTACAAAGTCTGTGTCGATAATTAGAAATTTACACTTAAAATACGAAACTAAAACTGCATGCTTTTTATCGCCATCATGAAGTGTGAGTTAAATATAGGTAAGCAATTAATGACAGAAGGCTGTCAAAAATGGGTTTTCTTTCTTTCATTTATGAAAATGAAAATGCTAATACTGATATGAATAGAAAGAAGAGGTGTTCTAATGACTTGGAAAAATACCATTTTGTCCGTAATTAATTAATAATTAGCTAAATTAGAAGAGAATTACCAGCAGAATTCCAATGAGTGACCGATCAAGAAAGGTCCAAAATTTTTTTTTTGTTTATCCAGACTGTATATACATGGACATTTATGATTGGTTAAAGCATAATGATATGATTAAGAATACATGATAATTCATTAAAGATAGCTTGTCAGGCAAGGTAATATACGCCCAGTGGTAGCTTTAATTTTGAACATAAATATTTAGCAATACAGTAACAATCACTAGTATGAATTATTCAACCTTCAGTCATACACTTCTTTTGAACTCTTTAGGGCGATACTGAATAATATTGAGTATGAGTTATTGCCCTAGTTCTTGAAACCGTGTTCAATCTTTAGCTCCTGAAAACTCTAGAAGACAAATATTCAATCTTCAGCGCAATAATGAATAATAAAACCAAGTTTTGTCAAAATTCAGCACGAATCATGCCTTCTAGAGTTTTTATGAGCTACAAATTGAACGATATTTCAAGATCAAGGGCAATAACTCATACTAAATATTTTTCAATTTTTCTGATTTTCAATAGGCTTTATCCTTGGATGTTAACAAACACTCAAGCCAAATTTCGTTAAAATCCGTCAAGAATTGTACATTCTAGAAAGTTTACAAGATAAAAATTGAACGCGTTTTCAAGAATAAGGGCAATAACTCATACTCAATATTTTTAGATTCTTCTGATTTTATCCTTGGATGATAACCAACACTCAAGCCACATTTCGTTAAAATCCGTCAAGAATTGTCCCTTTTAGAGTGTTTACAAGTTAAAATTTGAAGCTGACTGACAGGCAAGAAGAAACAAACTAAAAAGTAATACGATCTTTATAACTGTTTTATTTTAAGCAACTCGATTTTCGGTCAAAATTGCTCTCTTTTTACTTCTTATAAAATTGACGGTTAACCGATTATATCAAATCAGACCCAGTTACCCGTGAAATCGGTTAACTGATTAACCATTTCAACACTAAAAAATATCGAACAAATTTAAAAAACTTGATTTTCTCAGACAATAATAAAAGATAGCTTGCCAAGCAAGGTAACATACACCCACTACCAGCTGTCAAAAATGATAACAAAATCTTCAGTGGCTTAATACTGAATATTCAAATAATCTTAAAATCATCTATTAATCAAGGCAAAAACCTGAAACAGTTCATCAAATTATCATCAAATTCAAACAATGTCTCATCGCTGTACACACAAGGGCAATAACTCCAAAACCATTCGTCCGATAACTACCAATTTGGAACTTGACTGAGATCTCATCAATATATACATGCATACCAAGTTTCATCAAGATCAGATAAAAACTGTAGCCTCTATAAGGCCTACAAGAAATGTGAACAGACGGACAGGCCCGACGGCAATATACATCCACATTATAATATGGGTGTATTAGAAAAACCAAATGAATCTGACTGCCTTTTGGGCTAATTACCATCCAGAGCGGTATAATAGAGGTATACTCACTTTGATAACAAAGTCTTGGCTGTAGAGGATTCACGCTCACCAAAATAGATACAGAATAAAATAGCGGAGAATATGAGCACATCGTGGTCTTTACAAGGATATAGAGCATTAATATAATTATCATAAGCCTCATGAAACAACATCTTTATAGCTTCAGGGTGCAACAGCTAAAACAAAAATTTCATTTACATTCTTTAGTTAGGTATAGAAAATACGAACCAAGAAACCTTTCTTTCTGAGGTGTAAGTACTTTTCATGCCACTTGATTGGTAGCTTCTGCACATTCAAGATTCGAACCAGATGTTCAGTAAAACAAGTTGGAACAGAATTCATGTAGAAAATTTTAAAATGGCGGAAAAGGAAATAGATAAGAAAATTTTGAAAGTGACATATCTGCCTTCATTCCGTGCGATTGGTGGCAGAATTGGAACAGACTGAACCTGTTCAGAACTCTCCAATCAAGAGTCACCTTGGAGTCTTAAAGTAAACTTAAAAAGCTCTAACATTTTCCATATGTAAGACCAAGGGAAATAACTCTGTTTTGAATTATCAACAATAGCTAATATTCAAATTTCATCTTCATTTTATAACTACAAAATTGTTAATCTGTAGATTCTAGAGTGTTTGCAAGGAAATGTACATGAATGAATACAAAACCCTATTAAAGGGATTGAACATTTTTGGGGGTTGATTTTGGTCTTGATTATATGTAAATAGTCTTCAGAAATACTAGAAATGTATGAAAGTAGCATAATTCCTTCTAAAATATCTCAAACTAAGAATTTTACTTTCTATTTCTATAGATGTCTTTTTAACTTTCAAACACAGATAATTCTGGACACACATGGAGGCTCAAATTTTGACTAGGAGCTAAAAAAAAAATGCCTGTTTCTTAGCCTAAGGCACCATTGATCAAAAGGATGGTGAATCTGTCCCTTTAAATAGCTTCAAAATACCTGTTTTTCTCTGTCAACGCTAATTTTAGCATTTCTCCTCCATTTTAAAACAGGTTTTTCATCTCTCGCTCCAGCTAGCATGTGAACTGTTCTTTTATTCCAATTTTCTAATTCTCGAGTTGGTTTATGATCAGGTTTCAGTTGTAATTCTACAGAACATCAATCAAATTATAAAGTATACATTTTTAGAGAATGTCACAGAGGTGCAAAACGGAGCAAATTGGAAAATTGTTAGTGGGGCCCTTTCATCTACGAATTCCGGGGGAAGATGTCAACCCAATGGTGCCTGTGCTTTCATTCTCCCTCTCCCTAACACTAGGATGTCCTAGGATCTTAACTTCTAACACTGTTTCTAAGATGCCTACTAGGATCTAAACTTCTAACACTGTGTCTAAGATGCCTATTAGGATTTTAACTTCTACCACTGTTTCTAGGATGTCCTACTAGGATGTCCTGGGCTCTTAATTTCTAACACTGTTTCTAGGATGTCCTACTAGGATGTCCTAGGCTCTTAATTTCTAACACTGTTTCTAGGATGTCCTAGGCTCTTAATTTCTAACACTGTTTCTAGGATGTCGTACTAGGATAATAAAATATACTTACGTAAACTTGGTGAGCAGGTCCAAATAGTAAAAATATCTAAATAAGTTCCTTGAGGTAAACCAAACTCCTAAATAGAAAATAGAAGTGTGCAATGAGGGAAATTTTGTCAGCCTACTCTTCTGAATGTATTATCTCAACATTTGCTGGAATTGAACCCTGGACCTATGTATAGGAGGAAGCGTCTAACTCACTGAGCCACCGCGGCCCCCATATCTATTAATCTTAAGCTTAGAGTTGTTGCTCCATATGATGGAGTGCTTTGAAGAATAAGATGTAAATTTCTGTGAAAATATAAAAGCAGAAACTCTGTTGACATCTTTGGGTGTAAATCTCTGAATTATCATCAGTGCGAATGATGAGAGATCAAATTTGAAAGAGTTAAAGGGATTGTAAAGACTTTTTCTAAAAATTTTATGTGTAACAGGGACACTGATAGCATCGATTTGTACCATTCTAATTTACAATAAGATGTCTGTGGTTCCTGCAATTCCTCAATAAGGAAGTGTTTGATGATGTCACTTTATCACATGAGACCCAACTAGTGATGTCGTCAAACTTTTAGTCAGTGGAATTGCAGGAACCACAGACTTTTTTATAATCCCTTTAATGCAAGCATTTTCATTGCTGAAAACCTTATTCTTTACCAGTACTTTCAAGAGTCGGCCCGGTGTCAGCTCTCATCCACTAATGCAGTGGTTCCCAAAATTTTCCAGCCTTCACACCCCTGGATTAATCACCTAAAACCAGATCATACCCCCAAAAATTTGTTTCATCTACATTTTCAGCATGTGATGATCTTAGGCTCTCTCTCAACTGAAAATAAATTCTTCTCCTACACCAGTTGACCAGACCCCTGACACCCTAGTCCCACACCCCAGGGGGTGAAAACATCCAAAGTTGGGAACTGGGGCCCTAAAACCTTTACCAAAATACATAACCTACCTCTAACATCAATAAACAGAGTTGATGTACTGTGGTATCATGTCCAGACGGTAATCTTAACTGTTTAGATGATTTATCCATTAGAAAGATCTCAATAGTCATACTCTAGAAAAATCACAAAAATAGTTGATGGCAGTTCGAAACGTTCCCTTTTTTATAAGCTTTTATTTCTAACATAGCCACTTTAGTTAGGGTCTAATGACAACCCTCTTGAACCTAGTCAAATTGACCTTTTGACCTAACCTATTAAACAATGTGTGAGAAAATGCCAGCGCTGGAAAGGGTAGAAATTTGATTGGTTAAAGCAGACGTCATCGAGTTAGGTCAAAAAGTTGATTTGGTGTAACGTCAAAGAAGGCTGTCTTTAGACCCTTACTGAAGTGGCTATATTACAAATAAAAAAACAACTGACAATAGTTTGGCTTAATTAAACTGAGTTGATCCAAAAACAAACAAAAAATGCAAAATTTTTCTCCATACAAAATTACAGACAGTAACTAAAGTTACTGTAACTGTGTTATGACTTATACCTATTTCGATACTGTCACTCCTCTTAAAGAATTGGCCACCATTTGCAATCAAAATGTCTGCATAAAAAATATGACTATGGTTGCACTCAATTGAAGAGTTCTGAACAGTTTCCGCCATTTTGGATTCTGTCTGCACTTACTATGTTTTCGGCCCACATGGAACACATTCTGAATTCAACTTGTTTTATTGAACGTCTGCTTGATTTCATGAATCCTGAAGGTTCAGAACCCACCAATCGAGTGACCCCTATACTTACAGGTCTCATTTGAGCTTCTCTGATATATTGTAAAACTTCTTCATGTCGTCTGTCTCTATCTGGAGCTTGTGAACATATATCTAGAGCTGTTCTTCCACTGCTATCTTTAGCATTCTGTAATTAATGGTGAATTGAATTAGACTGCTGCCATGTTCTTGGTTTTAAATTAAAGGGATTGTTAAGAGGTTTTCGAAATTTTTTATGTGTATAGCATCAATTTGCACCATTCAAATTTTCAATCAGATGTCTGTGCTTCCTGCAATTCTACAAAAACTAAGTATTTGATGACATCACTATTGTCTGAGCAAAGTAAAAAGTATTTTGAATTTTTTCTATTATTTTTATGAGAATTGGAATAGCAGCTTCAAAATAGTACTGTTAGTCTTAGATTGTCTTGATAAAATATAAACATAAGCACACATTATACATTTTTGGGGTTGAAATTTCAACGAATGAAATGTGTTTCTTTTCAATGTAAACTTACAAAACATTATATATATATCAACACAAAAACATTCTAGGACTATCAGTACTATTTTGAGGCTGATATTCCAATTCTCTTCAAAAATATCGAAAAAATTAAAAAAACTTTTTAATTTGCTCAGACAATAATTGCTAAATATGCCTAATCACAAAAGGCACTTTTGCGATTGTGACATTTTTCTAGAGGGGCAAATGGCCACTCCTGTACCCCAACTGGCATTGCCACTGCCCATGTATTATAAATTTCATAGTTTCCGATTTAAAAGCTGAAAATCTTGTGTTTTACACTTACCACATTAATCCCACGATGCAACAATAAAGATTTAGCTACTAGTGGATAGCCTTTCTGAGCGGCCATATGTAATGGCGTATATCCATTATTGTTGGAAACATTCGGTGAACAGCCCAAATCTAGTAATACACTAACTACATCAGTCTTCCCATACCTATAAAAATAAATAGAAATATTTAGTTACAGAAGAATCCTCCTGTTCAGTGAATTCTGTTTACTGTGATGTCTTCAGTATTAAAGCAATCAAATTGAAATCAGATTACAATTTTGTTTTGTTATAAATTTGTTGTCCGTCTCCATTGTGATCTAACAAGATTTATTTATTGGTGATGTTTCAAGCTATTTATAGCATACAATCACAAGCCACTCTCCAGCCAATCAGAATCACTTTTACAATACATGATGTATAGGAGCCCAGGATATGGAGTCTTGCACTTACCAAGCTCCATAATGTTTAGGAGCCCAGGATATGGAGTCCTGTACTTACCAAGTTCCATAATTTACATGAGCCTACGATATGGAGTTTTGTACTTACCAAGCACCGTAATGTAAAGGTGCCCAGGATATGGAGTCTTGTACTTACCAAGCTCCGTAATGTTTAGGAGCCCAGGATATGGAGTCCTGTACTTACCAAGTTCCATAATTTACATGAGCCTACAATATGGAGTTTTGTACTTACCAAGCACCGTAATGTAAAGGTGCCCAGGATATGGAGTTTTGTACTTACCAAGCTCCATAATGTATAGGTGCCCAGGATATGGAGTCCTTTTTGGAATGGTGTTGACCACGTTGAATCAGTGCCTTAATTCCATCAATATCACCTTCTGCTGCTTTATCATGTACTGGATATTTATCACACCATTTAGGTTCCCTGCAATATCATGAAATACAGGGGGCCGCTCGATTCAGGAATTTTGTGCGTTCTGGACTCAAAGAATCAACAGGCCGTTCAACAAAACATGTTGGAACAGTGCGCGAAAAAAAATTAGTAGGTGCAGAATGGCAGAGAAGGAATGAGATGGTAAAATTTTGTCATACAGCTTGCTTGGGGGCAGAATGGGAACAGACAGAATCTGTTCAGGGCTCTCCAATCGAGCTCCATTCAGTAAATACCACCAGCTGTCCTGACTGATGAAGATTTCGTATCAGAAACGTGCTTGCAGCAAGAGATTAACTCTTGTCATATAGCAAGTTTGGGTAAGTGTTCAGTTTATTATAAAGAGAGTTCTGACTGAATTTGGCAGACGTCAAAACTTGGAATTGAGAAAAATAAAATGAGGACTTACTCCATGACGCTAGGTGTTCTAAGACCAGGTAAAACAATTCCCTGATCCCAAAACTTATTAGTCACAACCATATTTGCCTAAAATAGAAAATGACATTTTTATGTAATTGTTTGTCTATCTTGCAAGAACATTATTAAGCTATGGACCCCCTTTTCTATCAATATCTTATACTCATCTTTGTCGTAAAATTAAATTTCTTCAAGAGCAATTCAAAACTAAATTCACATCAAAAGATATTTGAGAAACAAGACCCCAGACAATTGACAATGCAGACATTGTGATTATTCTCACAAAAGAAACCCACACTATTTGCTAAACTCTCAACAGCTAATACAAATCGTTTTAATGAATCTTTATCTTTGTCAATCCCAAAAAACAAGGTACAAGTAGCATCCACATTCCAAAAACATATACTAGTATCAGATCACGACTTTTCAAATTAAAAACAAAACTTCACGTTTCAATTTTATTGTATTAATACATCGTTATCGTTTACATTATCGTTGAATATTTGACCAAAGATCAATGCAATGGTTGCGCCGGTTTCTCAGTGACAAATTTTGCAATGCGTGGCTTAACATCAACACGATGTGACGATCTTGTTCTTTATTTGTAATGTTATGATTACATTCTTTTCACAAACCATTTCAATTTCGAAAAAGTTTTCAGACTAGTCTGCGACACCAAGAAAAGTGCTTCATAACCCCAGTTAAGGTCGCGAACCAGAGGTTATTAACCCCAGAGCTAAAGCAAAACTCACTTACCTTTGTAACATAAGAAAGACCTGAACCAAATAAAGGATTCATTTTAACAATATCACATTTTTCTATGGACAACATTTTGGCTAAGGCCTCGTTGGCGGTCATTTGGAAGTCTGTAGGCAGATCACTAATATTTGAACCATCATTCTGGTGTGCCAAACGACTTGGAATGAAGACTGGATTATGGACAGTCAGACGGATTCGGAAATCTGTTCGTTGAGAAAATAAAAACTCCGCAGCTCCAGGACGGGAATGTTTATCATGTAGCCATCTGAAATAAAGTATAAAATCATATCTTTAAGGGATAAGGGTGGAGTTTTCTTAATTTTTTATGTTTATCCAGAACATTGATAGCATCAATTTAGACCATTCCAATTTTCAATCAGCTGTCTGTGGTTCCTGCAATTCAACTAAAACTAAGTGTTTGATGACGTCATTAATCACAAACAGTCTTATGTCATAAAGCATATTTTACGATTAGCGACTTAGTTTTAGTGGAATTGTAGGAACACAGACATCTGTCCCTGATACAAATTTATTTTTTCATGGGCAACATATGAATGTATATAAATTGATAAATTCCTATTTTTTCCAAAGTAGGCTAGGCTATGTCATAAAACACTTAGTTTTGGTCGAATTGCAGGAACCATAGACATCTGATTGAAACTTGGAATAGTTCAAATTGATGCTATCATTGTCCCTGATTCACATAAAAAATTTCGAAAACCTCTTTACAATCCCTTGAATGCCACTTACAGAAAAATGCATTAAATCCTGTCTTGGATTGAACTTTTATTGGTTTTTCATCACAACTTACCTTTCTAAATGAGCTAACAGACTACGCGTTGGTGACGGGAAATTCACAGACCCATTATTTAAAACTTCTAAGACATAATCTAATTGATAAAAGCCAGGGGTATGTTGAGCTTGATCCACAAATGTTTTATTTAATTTATCTGAAATATATTAAGTATAAAATTAAATCAACTTTTCTACTATAATGTTGTTCAATAACAATTTACTACCGATTTGATAGATAAAAAGATTCAATGAAATGAATTGATTGAAGTTACATTCAACACCTGATTTTATTTCAGCATGCTTTGAGCCTTCTGTGCTTCACTACAAGTCTAATCAAAATTAGACCAAACTTCTGTTCTGTTTTTTATTAGCTTTTATTTTTAATTAAGCCACTTCAGTTAAGGTCTTAAGATGGCCCTCTTGAACATTAATCTGCTTGATGACATCACTAGCCAATCATATTCCTGCCCTCTCTAACATTGGGATTTTGTGATGCAAAAAAATATAAAATTTCAGGGAAAATCACAAAATAGTAAGGACTTATAGAGGGAGAGGGGTAATAGTAAGGATTTATAGGGGGAAGAGGGGTAATAGTAAGGATTTATAGAGGGAAGGGTAATAGTAAGGATTTATAGGGGGAAGAGGGGTAATAGTTAGGATTTATAGGGGGAAGGGGGAAATAGTAAGGATTTATAGGGGGAAGGGGGAAATAGTAAGGATTTATAGGGGGAAGGGGGAAATAGTAAGGATTTATAGGGGGAAGGGTAATAGTAAGGATTTATAGGGGGAAGAGGGGTAATAGTAAGGATTTATAGGGGGAAGAGGGGTAATAGTTAGGATTTAGAGGGAGAGGGGTAATAGTAAGGATTTATAGGGGGAAGAGGGGTAATAGTAAGGATTTATAGGGGGAAAGGAGGTAATAGTAAAGATTTATAGGGGGAAAGGAGGTAATAGTAAAGATTTATAGGGGGAAAAGAGGAAATAGTAAGGATTTATAGGGGAAAGGAGGTAATAGTAAGGATTTATAGGGGAAAAGGGGTAATAGTAAGGATTTATAGGGGGAAAGGAGGTAATAGTAAGAATTTATAGGGGGAAGAAGGGTAATAGTAAGGATTTATAGGGGGAAAGGAGGTAATAGTAAGGATTTATAGGGGGAACAGGGGTAACAGTAAGGATTTATAGGTGGAAGAGGTGTAACAGTAAGGATTTATAGGGGAAAGGGGAGTAATGCAATCGATCAAGGATCCTATGATGGGTAATGGAATAAAAAAGGTTGAAAACCTACTGAAATAAAAATATTTTACTTACCATGTGAATTAACTGCTACAAAAAAGAGAGAAAACCTAGAGAGTGATTCTCTCTGTTGAATACGTAAATCTACTTGATCATTACATGGTATCTGTATGGCTCGTTCACCTTGAATCATACAATAATAAGTAATTTAAAGCTAAAGCCTACACAATTAAACCAACCTAGTGTTTAACTGAAAAGCTTTCATTAATGACACTTCTCTAAGCACACTTCTCTAAACAAATGTTCCGAACTCGTCTTGTAGCGTAGACATGAGAATAAGTTCTACTTGTACATCTGAAAATAGGTCGCTTGAGCCAGTAGTCAAGATTAGTCAAGTTCTCATGGAATTTGGTATGTATATCAAGGACACTCCAATTTTCAATCAAACATCTGTGGTTTGATGACATAAGTCTTTGATGACGTCACTAATTGCGAAAGGCCCAGCATTATGAGTGATTTGTGACGTCATCAAACATTTAGTTTTATTGGAATTGCAAGAACCACAGACGAGATGTCAAATTGAAAATTGGAATGGTGCAAATTAATGCTATCAGTGTCCCCAATACACATAAAGTTGGATAAGCAAATATTTCGATGACTAAATCCCTTCAATATATCAAAATACTGTCTACCTTTTATACCAGCTCCTGATTCACCAGCACCAGTAATTTTATATAGGTGAGATAAAACCAACTCTCGTGGTTCTTCTTCTATAATATTCATAGATAACATTGGCAAATACTTGGACTGCTTGACTTTTTCACCAGGGGGGGTTTTACTATCTAACAGTAAAATATCATACAATCTAGCACGATAATCTTGTGTAATTACGTTTGGTTTAGGTCGAATAACAGCAATTACTACCTCCATGTCTATAATATTAAAAAATCGTGTGTGCTTTTAATTTATTATCTCATTTAAGCAGAATTAGACCGAAACATCTCTCTCTAATCCAGACTCTGACAGCTATTTGGAAAGATGTTGGCTGGTGAACAGGCAGAAATATAGTCAGTGTTTGTGTTAAATGGGGACTTTCCACATCTCTGCAGGTGCAGGGGTTTTTAAACTATTTAGATACCGTACCTCTGATCTGCAAAACCCAGATATAATTGGAAAAAGTTTTTTTGATCTTGCATCAATCATTTAAAACTGTAGGCACAGTTCAAGATAACAGAGTCACATGATATTAAAACATTGAAAGTTACGCTGATGTCCTAAATTAGTCATCGTAAAGATAAATTAACATTATGTTAGAGAGAAATGCATCTTTGAAGGTGTGGAAAATCATCATTTAACAGGGTATACCCCAGCCGACAACTGTCAAAATATCCATCAGAGTCTGGGATAGATTCTGGAAGGGGCAGGCCAGATGTGTATATGTGATATCAAAGCTGTAAGCAAGGAATGATGAGTATTGTATACATGTAGAACTTTCAAAAAGTCTATACAGATATTTTGAATGTATAGGATTGGAGACAAGGGCCATAAAGTGCTGGAATGACATTGAACGCCTCTACTACTGAGATTTTTGGTCGATTTGACACATTGACCGAACTGACACTTGTCATGTTATGCAAAAGAAGAGCTTACTTTTTATATTAGATGATAGCAGGATCACCAGATGAAATGTCACAATGTAACCTGAAAAATAAGTCTATTGATTGCCTAATTCCGATTGCAGAAAATATATCTAAACATTGAGCTAAAACTATTTGAAACTTTCTCAAGAAAAAAGTTTGGGAAATTTTCCGACATCTTGAAAATACTTTTCAGTCTCTGTAACGGAAGATGTGTAAGGGGAGGTAATTGTAATTTAGGACCACAGTTAAATTCATCCGAAAACCTATTAAATTTCTTTTTTTTTTTCAGCATCAGGGCCATTTTCAATTTTTTTGTGTGATTTCTGCAGTTATAACGGCTAATAGCTGAAACACTCAGGTAAGGGTTTGGACAAGCCTTCCAAGGCAAGTAAACAAATGGAAACAATGTTTCAACTATTGAAAGTTTATTTAACAATTTATTATTTATTTCTGGTTATTGAATTATAGATACATCATGAGACTCAACAAACAAACAAATAAACAAAAAATAAATATACATCAACATTTATAATTTATTCATATATACAATAATTATACTATATTAAAGGGACAGATGCGCCATATTGGGTAGTTATTGAGTCTTGAATATATATGTAAATAGTCTTCCAGAAGTACTAGAAATGTACAAAAACTGCTTAATTGCTTCAAAAATACTTCAAACTAGGAACTTCACTTTCTTTTTCCATATATGGCAATGTTTCAAAAAAAGAGGACTCGTCTTTTTAACTTTCAAATGCGGATAATTCTTGACACATATGGATTTGAAGGCTCAAATTTTGTTGGTGAGCTGTGAACACTAGTACTGATTGGCTTAGCTAAAAAATTCCCGTTTCTGAGACTAAGGTATGACTGGTCAAAAAGATGGCGCATCTGTCCCGTTAAGACCTTAGAAAGACAACAGCATCAAACCATGTAAATTGAAAAATATAAAGAAAGATAAAGTTAATAAGAACATCAAAATATAGAAGTTTATCACTTTTAAAGATACTGGAAATTCTTATAGGTTCACAAAAAATATTGTTAATGGTTTTTTTCACAGGCACCATATGGATTTATGTTAAAGGGATTGTAAAGAGGTTTTCTAAAATATTTATGTGTATTGGGGACACTGATAGCATCAATTTGCACCATTCTAAGTTTTAATCAGACATCTGTGGTTCCTGCAATTCCTCTAAAACTAAGTGTTTGATGATGTCACTAATTGCATAAGGACTTATGTGATACAAGCATATTTTGAGATTAGTGACATCATTGCAGGAACTACAGACGTTTAGAATGGTGTAAATTGATGTTATCAGTGTTCCCAATACACATAAGAATTTTAGAAAACCTATTTTCTATCCCTTTAATTTATGAATTCCTATTTCTTCCGAAGAAGGCTTCCCCAAGATAACAATTACACAGCAGTAAAATATCCAAGAAAATAACAAATTACAGCATACAGACTTGATGGATCATCACCTCATATCTTAGATTATCTGTAGTGGGTAAACTGAATAGATCAAAAATATCTTTGAAAATAAACTTCAGATCTACTGTCAATATGAATTAGCTTCGATCATAATTCGAGTCGAGGTTTGGGCAAGGATCAGCTGGTAGAAAGGATCCTTAACTGTGAATGTGAACCTAAGTTGTTATTCTTGTAAAATATAGTTGTTTCATTCTTAATTCTTCATATTAAGCAATACTATACATAATTAAAACATAGTTGTCCAAACTTCAAAGCTGAGTTTTCTCACAAGTACACTCAAGCAGCAAAATGGGTTCCCTTATTTTCATTTATGAAAATGAGAGTGCTATATATGAAAAGATAGTAGAGGTGTTCTAATGACTTGGAAAAATACCGGTTTGTCTCACATGTCCATAATCAATTCATAATTAGCTAAATTAGAGAATTACGAGCAGAATTCCAATGAGTGACCGATCAAGAAAGGTCAGAACGTCTTTTTTTATTTATCCAGACTATCCATACATAGACATTTATGATTGGTTAAAACTCTTAATTATATGCAATAAGAACATAATGATATGTTAAAGAATACATGATAATTCATTAGAAACTCCAATTAATCAAATAGTTTGCTTAATTTTACACTCAGAAAATAAGGAAACCCATCTTTAATGTATTGAAATTATATATAATATAAGGAATAATGAGCAAATGATATTTGAGCTTAAAGATATACTACCTCTTAGGATGACCAAAAAATTGAAATTTTTAAACTTGGCCAAATTGAGTCTTTGTTCATCAGTGGACTTACCTGGTGTCATAACTATACAACAGAATCTCTCTATAATCTAATAAATCTATAAAACTAAGTAATAATCCATTAAACTAAGTAATAATTATTTAGTTTAATGGATATATCATCTTATATAGATGGGACCTGGAAAATCAAACTGATGATTATATACTCTCATTGACCAAGTTTGAGACTTTAAATTTTATGTCCATTCTAAGAAGTTATTACTTAAAAGGGTCCCAAAAGAGATTTGTTAAACTATGAGTATAGGGGACATTTATATTGCACAATTCCAATTTCTGACATCTCTGGTTCCTGCAATTCCAGAAAAACTTTACCACATGATGTCACTACTACAAACATTATTTATTACGTGCTAAAAAATCTCTTTTGGACTCTTTTTGTAAAGACAGGAAATGTATTTATACATAATAGAAAAATACAGTATCATAATATTTTATGAGATCCAAAATTTGATCGAGGCATCTGTACCTAATTAATTAAAGGGGTTGTAAAGAGGTTTTCTAAATTTTTTACGTGTATGAGGGACACTGATAGAATCAATTTGCATCATTACAATTTTCATTCAGAAATTGGTTCCTGCAATTCCACTAAAACTAAGTGTTTCTTGACATCACTAATCGCAAAATGCTTGTTTCACATAAGGCCTTTCGGGATTAATGATGTCTTAAAACAATTAGTTTTGGTAGAATTGCTGGAACCACAGATTGATTGAAAATTGGAATGGTTCAAACTGATGTTATCATTGTCCCGGATACACATACAAATTTTAGATAACCTCTTTACAATCTCTTTAATATTTTATGAGATCTAAGATTTTATCAAAACATTTGATGTTAAATATGTCTACCAATAAATACTCTGACAGGCAACACCATGCAGTGTGCAATGAGGGAAATTATGCCAGGACAGCGGCATTAGCCTGCTCTTTTTCGATTTCCAACTGTCGAGGGATCTTTAACGTGCACAGCCTGTAGTACACAGGTTCATTGTCCTATCCAAACAACTAGACGCTTTTCTAGGTCGCAGTTGAACATGAGCCTAAACCAGAGAAAAAGTCTCTGAAAAATTTAAAACATAAAAACAATCGACCTCATACAGCAAGATGGCGGCCATATTGCCTAAGTACTGTTTTTGAAGCGTCTCTGCCACGCCATATTCCAAAGAGGGTTCAAATTAAGATTGCGATTCAAAATGACACCTTTGCGAACCTATATTTCCTTTGATAAGCTAAAATTAAAATTGATCACGATGATCTGTGAATCAAATCAAATTATATTTTTTTCTTGATTATTTTTGCCAAAAAAACTAAAAAAGGAACTAAGATCATTGATAAGATCTTTTTGAAGGTTAACTACTGGAACATTTTGAATTGCTTTCGAATTTTTAAGAAATGCAAATCAAAATTTTAAGGGATTATAAAGATTTTTTAATCGGGGACACTGATAGAATCAATTTTCACCATTCCAATTTTCAATCAGACGTCTCTGGTTCCTGCAATTCCAGTGAAACTAAGTGTTTTATGATGTCACACCCGCAAAATTTTGCTTGTATAACTAAAGACCTTTGTGGGGGTGATGTCATAAATGACTTAGTTTTAATAGAATTTCTAGAACCGCAGATATATGATTGAAAATTGGAATGGTGCAAATTGATGCTATCGGTCTCCCCGATACACATAAAATATTTAGAAAACCTCTTTACAATCTCTTTAACTTGCCAAAAATGAAATTTGGTGTTATAAATTGTTAATTTTTTTTTCCTGAGGCAAGTCATATCCTAAAACCATTCAAACAAGCACAGTACTATATACATATAAAATAATAATTATGTTTATAAGACACATGATTTGAAAATAACAGAAAATAACAACTGAAAATGAACAGACGTCAAATATTAAAGGGATTGTAAAGAAGTTTTCTAACAAATTTTATGTGTATCGCGGACACTGATAACATCAATTTACACCATTCCAATGTTCAATCAGACATGCTGTGGTTCCTGCAATTCCACTAAAACTGTTTGATGTTAAATTAAATTAATTATGTGATAATTCATATTCTGCAATCAGTGACGTCATCAAACACTTAGTTTTTGTGGAATTTTAGGAACCATAGATGTCTAATTGAAAATTGGAATGATGGAAATTGATAATATCAGTGTCCCTGATATACATAAAACTTTCGAAAACCACTTTAACTTTTCAAAAAAGTTACAGATTTAACTGAGTGTGATTAGGTAATTATAAGTTTAGTTTACAACAAGTCATAGGATAACTTCAGACCAAAGTTAAAAAAGTTGAAAAGAAAATTGCTCTTATAAATTACAGATCATCAGCACATTAAAGCCTTTATACAAGTATATATGTATAAACAATATGATTAAAACTAGATAACAATTTCGTATTTTTTTTATTTATGATATTTTCGGTCTACATTCTAATTTAAGAATTTCCTACCAAAAGCCTGTCCCAAAGGTAGTATTATTAACCAATAACAGCATGTCGTCAAAAGCTTGTTTCTTGATTAAATAAGGAATTGTTGGATAGCGAAACCCCAATTGGCTGTCATCTTGCTCTATTTTGGGTTCCACCATCCCACAATTCCTTTTTTCATTAAGAGATGGGTTCTACATGACACGTTTTGATTGGTTAAAAATAACATCATTGGGACAGACCTTTGGTAGAAAAGTTATTAGATTACAATGAAGAGTAAAAGTATCAGAAATAAAAAGAAACGAAATTCAAATTTTACTTGGATTGATGTATTAGGGACACATATTATTCAATTTGCACCATTAACATTTCACATGCAAAATCTGTGGTTCCTGTAATTCCAGAAAAATCAGGTTATGATGGCGCTATCACAGGCCTAGAAATATTAAAACAGAACTTGAATCATGTTGTTATTCAGAGTTTCACAACTGACCTATTTTCAGCCTGTGTACCTACTGAAGTTGGAAATTTAGAACTTATTTTCATCTCTACACTTCGAGACGAATTTGGTCTTATTTGTGTAGGCTTTAGCTCTGCTATCAATGGACCATGATATTTTGTAGGCCTATATCACTACCAAAATGTTATTGCAATGCTGATATCATGATCAAACAGGAATTTTCTAGAATTACAGGAAGCATATACGAATTGGTATTGTCCCTAATACAAATTAAAAGATAAGAACACCTCTAGAATTCAGAGACCTTCTGTAAATGAGAAAATATTAACAGCATTCACTTTTCAATAAAAACAGCTGAAGACATGTAAGCCTACAATAAATCTTACACAAACACTCCTCCTTTTTTAGAGAGTTTGTTTATAATGCATATGGGTGTGCTTGATTGGTGAGTTCGAACAGTATGCAAGCTGATATGTCATCCATCCATTTCCTTCTCCACCATTTTGAATTCTGTCTGCATCAATTAATTTTTCAGCACACATGGAACGCATTCTGAACTCGTTCCAACTTGTTTTATTGAATGTTCTGTTGATTCCTTAAATCCTGTATGTGCAGAACCCACCAATCAAGCAGCCCCATAGTGTGGCAGTGAGAATGGTTTTGATTCAAATGATAAATAAATAAATAAATTAGAGACTATTTCACAAACATTCAGATGAATAAAATTCCTATTACCTATTCAAGCACCATTTTACAGAGTCAAATATATCTCTTGAGAAAACATTTTGAAACTTTAAGTCCATGGTTCACCATTTTCGGGAGGCAATTGTACCACAGTCATGACTCATTCTAAGAGCCTTCATTTTGAAAAATCATTAAAGACTTGATAAATCAAAATTATAATATATAGTTTATTTACTCTTATAGTTCTTATCATCCAGACGTACAACTTTCCGATACCCAAATTTCCAGGATATCGATAAGCTTGAGAACGAATTAAATAAAAAGTTAAATTTTATTTTTTTGAGGTCTATTTGAAGGAATTATGTGATTTTGGTACAGTTCTTGTACTTCTGAAGACTACCTTAATATGTTCAAGTCCCGAAAAAGGCGAACCTGTCCCTTTAACAGAAATTGCCCTGTTATATTCAAACAGGGAGTAAATACTAGCTTTTCAATAACAAGATTTTTCTTACAAATCAAATCTCTTTTTGAACCCATTTTGTAACCATTGTTAAACATGGAAAGATAGAAACAATTGTATAAAGCTGACTTGATTCAAGTGATGCATGCCCAGAGGGGGTACAGGTTAGCACCCCCAATGGTACCCCCCTCCCTCTTTATTTCTAACAAATCTAAAAAATTGATTTTTATACGTGTTTATTTCGTCCCAAAATATGTTTCAGAATGCACCAAATCAATCCCTTTTTTCTAAAATTTTCTTCAGAGAACCCCCCCTCTCAGACGCTCCATGAGAGTTTTGCGACTATGATGCCTCCACAGAGAAGCCAAACTTGTAAATAGCATCGATAGTTGTACCCTTATTTGTACCCCCAGTCTCGGAAGACTACAGCCATCACTGTGCATGCCCCTAAAATACTCCAAATTTATTTTCTTGCACATACGTGTTAAATTTCTTCAATTATATTTTTCAAAAACAAATTATTATTCCGCCATTTTTAATTCCCACTGATTTCCAAACACTTATAATATACGAAACAGCAACAGTTCAACTGTTCACTCATCACAAAAACATTGACGTTGTTGATGTTGATGCTGTTGGTGTTGCAGTTGTGCTCATAGAAAATAAGTCTGAGGTTTGATTTTTAGCAAGGCAATACGGCAATTCTTTTCCATGACTACAGCCCTCACTGCTCACGGCGTTTACAATAGCTAATATAGTTCCAACAATGGCTACCAGGATACCAAATATGGCAGTAAGTATTGGGCCAATATTACCACGCGAGAATAACGCTTCTTGACGTAACCTCATTACACATAACGATGGAATGATATATGCCAATGGTGCCGCAGCCAACACTCCCTGAAATGAAAATATTTTGGATTATTACATATTCTTGCAATTTGGAAGTTATAGTCCAGGACACTGTTTCTCAAAAATTTGTTCGATTGAACTTACACATTAAGTGGAGAAAAAAGTTACTTTTGACGTTAGTGAATCATTAATTTATTCGTATGTATACTATATTTTGGAAACAGGGCTAAGAGACCTTATTTTCGAAAACAACAAATAATCTAAATGTTAAGAAATATAGTAATCTGATTGGATAAAAAAACTTATTTAAAATTGATTTTAGTGATTCACCAATTTCATAAATTTGCACCATTCCAATTTTCAGTCAGACGTCTGTGTTTCTTGCCATTCCACAAAAAATAAGTGACGTCATTTTTCTTGAAATTTGGTCCTTCGCAATTAGTGATGTCATCAAACATTTAGTTTTAGTGGAATTGCAAGAACCATAGACGTCTGATTAAAAATTAGAATGGCGCAAATTGATTCTTTCATTGTCCCCGATACACATAAAATTTTTAGAAGACCTCTTTACAATCCCTTTAATATGGGTTATTAAAAATTAAAAACCCAACAGTACTCACATTAAATTCTAGTACAACACCTAAACAATCTGTTGACATGGAAACAGCTCCCGCTAAAAATACCACAATGACTGTAATGGTCACATGTCTCCATAATGGAATCGGTGGGTTGGAGGCAAAAACAGCATTTTCTATAACCTATAATACAAAAATATTTTTTCCACAAACACTGAGCTAAAAATTTAAAATGAGCTGCCAGTGGGAGTATGTTACCTTGCCTGGCAGCTAGTCTTTTGAAAATAAGTTCACACTTTCGTTCTGTTATTTTTAGCCACTTGCGTTAGGGTCTAAAGACAGGCCTCTTGAAAGTTCATCTGTTTGATGATCCAGCCAACCAATCAGATTTCAGCCCTCTCCAACACTGGACTTTGGTGACAGGAACTACAGATGTATTCTGAGAAGCATTGAACACTCTCTTTTTGGATAGTGCAAGTATTAATGGACAGAATTTGTCTAGCTTGTTTGAATTCTACCAAAGAATGGTGAATGAACGGCTGTTTTGTTTTGAAATGGGTTCTGGATGTAAACAAGTGGTTGCCTAGCAAATTACACCCACTTCCCTAATCAATCTTTGTATATCAAAGGCAGTCACCAATCTGTGTCAAATCATACCAAAAATCTAATTTGAACATGATATTGTTGATTTAATCAAACACACAAAATTTCGTAAAATTTTGACATAAACTGCCAACAAATTTTGATGCATTTTTCCTAAGTCTTCAAATTCGAAGATGACCAAGATCTCATTGTAATATAAATGATTACACCAAATTTCATTTAAATCGTGTGAAAACTGTAGTCTCTATTGTATTCACAAGCCACTTGTGGACGGACGGATGGACAGGGGCGATGACAATATATGACTACATTATAATGAGGTCTGGATGTAAAAAAATGTTTGACTATATAGCTAGATATCAAGATAGAATATTTACCTCTCGTGTTACAAAACATTCAACAGGGTATGTTAACATGATAGTAATAGAGAAACATAATCGTGCTATATTCATCAATACATCATCTCGACAATAATTCTCCATCAAGTCACCTGGAATTACAAAATAATTGAATTGGTTGGTGCTCGATTGGAGAGTTCTAAACAGGTTCCGACTGTTGCAAATCTGGCCTCAATCAAATGGTATGAAAGTAGAATATGTCACAATTAAAATTTTCCAATCTATTTCCTTCTCTGCCATTTTGAATTCTGTCTGGAAGGTTTTTTTCAGAACACATGGTACGCATTCGGAACTTTGGTCAATAAGTGAAGATGATTTATTCATGGTCATCAAATTTTCACACACCAATCGAGATTGGAACCCACAGCCAACATTGGTTAATATATCATACCTTGTGTATGTCCAGTAAAAGAAATATAACCCACTACTCCTATTAATATACACATGAATGCAGCGAAACCAATACTGAGATGGGTGACTGTACTCCAACGTTTAGAAGTTGGATTATCTAATGATCCATGAATTAGGAATGTATTATGATGACACATATAAGCTGAAATACAAAATTCCAATTATAGCAGTCTAAGTAAATTAAGATCAAACTTTCTTTCCGTTTTTTATTCGCTTTTATTTTCAATATTGCCACTTCAGTTAGGGTCAAACGACAGCCATTAACAGTTAGTCAAATTAACCTTATGACTTAACTCTATGAGGTCTGCTTTAACCAATCAAATTTATACCCTCTCCAGCCCTGGCATTTTGTGACACGGTGTTCATCTGGTTAGGTCAAAAGGTTAATTTGATCATTGTCCATGATGACTGTCATTAGACCACCCTAACTGATGTGACCATATTAAAAAAAAAATTTTAATAAAAAACAGAAGGAAAGTTAGATATAATTTTAATTGGAATGCAATTTATAGTACTACGCTGCAAAAAAGTCTATCTAATTCAAATTTGATTACACCATTCATTCGAATTAACACGTGAAAATTCTGAGTTCATCAACCAATGAACGCAAAAAAAACTACATTCAGTCCTTAAATAAGCACACTTCTTTAATAAAATATTAGAGTAGTCCAAACAATCTAAAATATATCAAATTTGCCACTTACCAAATGCTAAAATAGCTATAGCTTGTGTTACATTGTAGTTAGCAAAATTCCATGCCCCTTCTGTAGCAGGACTGAAAAATAAACAAAATTGGTAATGTAATTTTTGCACTGCAATTATCCATTCTATTAAAGGGATTGTAAGGAGTTTTTCGAATTTTTTTTATGTGTATTAGGGACGCTGATTGCATCATTAGCACCATTCCAATTTTCAATTAGATGTCTGCAATTTCATTCAAACTAAGTGTTTGATGTCGTCACTAATTGCAAGAGGCCTTAAGTGATACAGCATATTTTGCTTTTAAAGACCTACATGTTGTAATATGGTCCACTTTTACAAGTGTAAAAAGAAAAAAAAAAAAATTCCAAATTTACTTACATATCTTTGGCAAAACCTGCTGTTCTAATAACAACACACACAAATATAAACCAAATCAAAACAATGGATAAAAACGCCCACTGGAAAATAAATGACAAAAGTCACTCTTTTGGCCAACATTAAAGGCATTGTAAAAAGGTTTTCGAAATTTTTTTATATGTACAGGGACACTGATTTACAATTTACACCATTCCAATTTTCAATCAGATGTCTGTGGTTCCTTCAATTCAACTAAAACTAAGTGTATGATGAGGTCACCAATCGTAAAGGGCCTTATATGATAAAGCATATTTTGCGATTAATCATCAAAAAGTTAGTGCTGAAGTCTGATTGAAAATTAGAATGGTGCAAATTTATGCTATCAATATCCCCAATACACATACAAAATTTAGAAAACCTTTTTACAATCCCTTTAAAAAAAATCGACATGGAAAAAATGAATACGTGTAATATAATGACTAGATATTCTAGATTAAATTATTAAAAGCTAGATAAAGGACTCTGTTTTTTTACTGCTTCAAAGACAATCTGTATGATATCAAGTCTTATTTCATTCTATGTAAACAGAAATTTGATTTGTGACAATCAGATAACATATTGATTGGAATCGCTGATGATTACACGACAGGCAAAATCAAGCCTTTAATTAGAAATATTAACCAGTAACAATCTAATTGTCACATTAGGTGTAATTTGTGGAGGTACTAATATTAAGGTTCTATAGCACTGTCAGTGAGAGCGTTGGTTCTTTACATGACGTCATTTACTTGGTTATGTCAAGCAAATGGTGACTATGGGTTCTAATCGCAATCAGCGTGTAAAAATCTGATGACCTTAAGTCTTCATCACTCATAATTCGGGGTGACCCACCAGTGGCGGAGCCAAAGGAGGGGCAGAGGGGGTTGCCGCCCCCACACAGCCCTGAAAGCAGGTTTATCAGGTAAAAATCTCATCGGACTTAAACCTTGCTCCGACACTGGGACCCAGCTGTAAATGGAAAGATCACTGCCAAGGACCAGCTTGTAGAAAGGATCCTTAACTGTGAACCTAAGTTGTTATCCTTGTAAAATATAGTTGTTCTTTCTTTCTTTTTATAAACCCATTTACATCAGGCCACTATAAAGTGTTCCGTTCTCATTCCAGACCAGGCCACGATAAAATGTGCCCATTTACGTGCCCATTTACATTATAGTAAACTCAAGCAGTCTGAGAAGCGTGGAACTCTTTTTGAAGAAGTTAGAATGAATCCTTGTCGTCACCCTGATGTAATCAAAGATCTGGATGTAATCAACAAAAGAGGTCATATAAAATATTGGATCACAAAAGGGGGTCATATGAATTATTGGGGTATATGAAATATTGAATCACAAAAGGGGGTCTTATGAATTATCGGGATATATGAAATATTGAATCACAAAAGGGGGTCTTATGAATTATCGGGGTATATGAAATATTGAATCACAAAAGGGGGTCTTATGAATTATCGGGATATATGAAATATTGAATCACAAAAGGGGGTCATATGAATTATCGGGATATATGAAATATTGAATCACAAAAGGGGGTCATATGAATTATCGGGGTATATGAAATATTGAATCACAAAAGGGGGTCTTATGAATTATCGGGATATATGAAATATTGAATCACAAAAGGGGGTCATATGAATTATCGGGATATATGAAATATTGAATCACAAAAGGGGGTCTTATGAATTATCGGGATATATGAAATATTGAATCACAAAAGGGGGTCTTATGAATTATTGGGGTATATGAAATATTGAATCACAAAAGGGGGTCATATGAATTATTGGGGTATATGAAATATTGAATCACAAAAGGGGGTCTTATGAATTATTGGGATATATGAAATGTTGAATCACAAAAGGGGGTCATATGAATTATTGCGGTATATGAAATATTGAATCACAAAAGGAGGTCTTATGAATTATTGGGATATATGAAATGTTGAATCACAAAAGGGGGTCATATGAATTATTGGGGTATATAAAATATTGAATCACAAAAGGGGGTCTTATGAATTATTGGGATATATGAAATGTTGAATCACAAAAGGGGGTCATATGAATTATTGTGGTATATGAAATATTGAATCACAAAAGGGGGTCTTATGAATTATTGGGATATATGAAATGTTGAATCACAAAAGGGGGTCATATGAATTGTTGGGGTATATGAAATGTTGAATCACAAAAGGGGGTCATATGAATTATTGGGGTATATAAAATATTGAATCACAAAAGGGGGTCATATGAATTATTGGGGTATATGAAATGTTGAATCACAAAAGGGGGTCATATGAATTATTGGGGCATATAAAATATTGAATCACAAAAGGGGGTCATATGAATTATTGGGGTATATGAAATATTGAATCACAAAAGGGGGTCATATGAATTATTGGGGTATATGAAATGTTGAATCACAAAAGGGGGTCATATGAATTATTGGGTATATATAATATTGAATCACAAAAGGGGTCATATGAATTATTGGGGTATATGAAATATTGAATCACAAAAAGGGTCGTATGATATATTGGATTGTAAAAGGGGGTCATACAAAATATTGGATAGCAAAGGGGGGGGGGGGGCATATGAAATATTGGGTCATATGAAATATTGCATCGCAAATGAGGGTCATATGAAATATTGGGTCACAAAAGGGGTCATTTTGAATCATAAACTGCGATACCACTTAAATTGAACCCTGTATAAGATACACAATAAGAGAGATTAAAGAAACTATTGTCACAAAACCCAAGAGACAGTATGATGTCAAGTCAACCTTCAGATTTCAATAAATGAAACAAGAAAAATCAATATTTTGGGTTTTATAGTAATTTATTTTTCTAGTGAAATTGAAATAAGTCTGATAAATTATTCAGTATTTATCAAAGGAAGAGATAGGTTTTCTAATTAAATTGCTGATTTTATACAATGCAAATAGGGTTGCCAGCTATTAGGAAGATAATCAGAAAATTAGAAGGTGATGGCAGTATTTTCTTAAAGGAATTGTAAAAGGTTTTTCTCAATTTTGTATGTGTACGAGGATAGTGCTGACACAATATATCGGTGAATCGATGTATCGTGATACGAAATGCCATGATACGTGTATCGTATCACGACATTGTGTATCGATACTTGGCGATACCTTTTATTACATGAAAAAATGGGGATTTTTTTAAGTTGTTTTATGATATAACAATTTTTTTCACTGAAATTGTTAGAAACTTTTTATAAGACAGTGGACACTAATAACCACTTCTATCAACTATATTACCAAATATCACAGTTATAAAGTTATAAATTAATATATCTAGAAACTATTTATAAGACAATGGATGTTAACCACTTCTATGATGTTAACCACTTCTATCAACTATATTACCAAATATCACAGTTATAAAGTTATAAATTAATATATATATAGAAACTATATATAAGACAGTGGACGCTAACAACTTTTATCAACTATATTACCAAATATCACAGTTATAAAGTTATAAATTAATATATATAGAAACTATTTATAAGACAATGGACGCTAACCACTTCTATTAACTATATAACCAAATATCACATTTATAAAGTTATAAATTAATATATATAGAAACTATTTATAAGACAGTGGATGTTAACCACTTCTATCAACTATATTACCAAATATCACAGTTATAAAGTTATAAATTAATATATATAGAAACTATTTATAAGACAGTGGATGTTAACCACCTCTATCAACTATATTACCAAATATCACAGTTATAAAGTTATAAATTAATATATATAGAAACTATTTATAAGACAGTGGACGCTAACCACTTCTATCAACTATATTACCAAATATCACAGTTATAAAGTTATAACTTAATATATATAGAAACTATTTATTAGACAATAACCACTTCTATCAACTATATTACCAAATATCACAGTTATAAAGTTATAGAAACTATATATAGAAACTTTGAAGGTAAAATGTTAATTTTTATCCCATTACACAATATCGCAATACGTATCATATCGTCACGAGATATATTTTTATATAATGACAATGGTAATGTAAAACAAATTGGACTCACCTTACTGAGGCGAGATATATTTTTATATAATGATAATGGTAATGTAACAAAACAAGTACTAAGGAATATAATAAATTGACGATTTCCTAATATAGAATGTACTATCGAATAACCTGAAATATAGAAATAAATAAATTTGAAACTTTTTAAGACTGAGATATCATGTACATAAAATAAAATCATCTAAATATCTATTTCAGAATACTTGGTCAGTCTTGGGCCTCATAACCCTCGTTTATACTGGCATAAATATTGATCTGTCACTCATTGTAATTCTGCTGGTAATTCTCTTCTAATTTAGCTTATCATGAATTAATTAAGGACATGTGAGACAAACTGGTATTTATCCAAGTCATTAGAACACCTCTACTAAGTATTAGCATTTTCATTTTCATAAATGAAAATAAGGGAATCCATCTTTAAAGGTACTATTAAATTTGAACAATGCAGCAGTCTGAACTGAATATGACACTGAAATGGAGCAAAGAGACACTGTAAAAGGTTTTGACAATAAGGCAGTCTGTTAACAATGCCTGCAAGTTCCTAATACCATAATCCCAGAAACTGATACAAAGACAGCAGAAGACAATATGTCTGATAATTTTGAAATGGAAAAGTAAATCTTCTTAAAAAGTTCTATTAAACCATTCAATAAAGCTTTCAGATAGCCTAAGGTGAAGCATTAGTTTAAAAATTTAAAAGTAAATCCAGATTGAAATATGTTTTTAAAGGGACAGGCTATCCTTTTTTGGGAATTGATTTGGGTCTTCAGAACTACTGGAAATGTACAAAAAATTGCATAATTCCTTAATTCCTCACTATATATTTCTATAGATGTCTTTTCTATATATGATAATCTCAAGAAAAGACTAGTCGTCATTTTAACTTTCAAATTCTAGACACACATGCAATTGAAGCCTCAAATGTGGATGATGAACTGTGAACTTAGCTGAAAAATTCCCACTTCTGAGACTAAGGTAAAGGTCAAATGGATGGCGACCCTGTCCCTTTAATGAAAAAATAAGAAGGCTGTATGGTGCATAAATTTGTCAAATTAGTCAAATCAATATGGAGTGTAACAGACTATATACATTCTGCTTGTCAAATTCAATTTTACTTTAGCTGGTGCATAAATTTGTCAAAATAGTCAAATCAGAATTGAGTGTAACAGACTATATACATTCTGCTTGTCAAATTCAATATTATCAGACAATGTTGATAAATGTCTAAATTTCTGCAAACAAATATTGCTAAGATAATATGATTTGATTTGTATGGTTTCATTGCAAGGCATACTAGACGATAAATCATTGGATATTTAAGTGTAAACCAAGCGATAAATGTCAAAGATATAAAAGATGATTGGAGTTATTGTCTGTATTCAGGGATGTAAAATCTAAACAGACAATAATATTCTCTAAACTTAATGGAGGAGATTAGAAAATCGGTTCCTCATTGTAGACACACGTATAAAAGCAAACTTTATTAAAAAATATCCACCATTTGACACCTGACTGTTAGATAATAAGATTGTATAAATTCAGTCTGATTCCGTTAAAGGGACAGGTTTGCCATCTGTTTTACTAACTGTACCTTAATGTCAGAAACAGAAATTTTTAGCTAAGCTGATCGGTAATAGTGTTCACAGTTTACCGTCGACTTTTAAGCTTTCAAATACACGTGTGTTCAGAATTATCTGAGTCGTCATTTTTTGAGACTCTGTTATATATAAAAAAGACATATAGAAACAGAAAGAGAAAGAGGGATTTTTGTGGATTTCTAGTACTTCTGAAGACTATTTACATAATATATTCAAAACACAAATCAACCCCACAAAATGGTGGTATGTCTGAAGAGAGCTGTGAACACTATTACTGATTAACTTACCTTAAAAAATCCTGTTTCTGAGACTAAGGTATGATTGGTCAAAAAAATGGCGCCTCTGTCCCTTTAAATAGATTGACTCCCACCTTAATAATGATATAAATAAATAATTTTCTTACCATCTCCAGCAAACATGAGAACTATCTTGGTAATAGTATCACCAATAATCACATTATAACTCACCATAGCTATAAATATATAATACTTTATTAGTACTTTCACAGACTAATAAAACTAAGACCAAACTTTCATTCCAGTTTTTTTCATTAGATAGCTAGAAAAAATATTTTGATTGCTTCAAAATTACAGGCATTGCCAAGCTTTATTACTTGATTAAATCAGAAAGAAGATTCACAGAAGAACATGGAACAAAAGTTTAGCATAGCAACTTCAGGTAGAATATAGCTCCATTAGATCAAGGCACAACACTTTCGTTCTGTTTTTTCTTTGTGAGCTTTTATTTTTAGTATAGTCACTTCAGTTAGGGTCTAACGACAGCCCACTTGAACGTTTGTCAAATTAACTTTTTGACCTAACTCGATGACGTCTGCTTTAACCAATCAAATTTCTGCCCTCTCATTTTTGGTCAATTTCAACTTTTAAGAGAGCTGTCGTTAGACCCTAACTGAAGTGGCTATATTAAACAAAAAAGATAATAAAAAACCGAGCAAATGGCCCAAAAAAGCACTGCCTATAACAGCCACTAGATACTTACCAATAAAAGGATAAAGAAATTGTAAAACTGTAAGAATGTAATACCCTGGTTTACCAAACGCCACTAGAACCATGTCCTAAAAATAAACATTAATCATTTCATCAAAGATGGATATAAAAAATGAAAAAATAATTTTTGTTTTTTTTTGCAATTTGCAAGCACAGTTTCAGTTCCTTTGCATTGGACCTAAACAAACATGAGTTCTGCAGATGTTTGATGCTCCCTTTAAATTTTGGGCCATATTATGGGTGACCTCTTGAAATCTCGTAGATGCCATATTAGACTTTTTGGTACCATTTGAAAGTTCGTAAAAGTGTTCGTCAGTGATGTTTGTGCGAACACAGTGTGTGTCCGTTCCCTTCATTACTAGCAAACAAGTTGTAGAAAAGTATAAAATCAAATTCCATTTTATGTCTTTCCATGTGACACATCCATCATGTCCAAATTACATTCCCATTCGTCATACTTCCTCGGGGCTGGGGTAACACAAGTGAGAAAAATTAAGTATTCATAGCTAAATATTGTCCTCTCGAAATTGGCCCTACTGTATTGGAAGCAAATTTCAGCCAATCAAAACAAATCACTCATTATGACTCTTTGTTTTCGAATATAAACAAAACTACAGCAGCGTGCCATTACATATTTTGATGAATATGTACGGTACAGGATCGAGTAAGATTTTCGTTAGTAAGAATGGAAGCAGAGAGGAAATAAAAACCTTACTTTGGAATATCTACTTGGAAAGAATGTGTTCTTATCTCTTCAAACGGGCGGTGGCAAAGCGGTGTTGTGTTTGTTTACATGACCACATTTTTGTTCTAACGATATGATTGGTCAGATTTCCATGCCCCCAAAACGAAACGTAGTGGGCTTAGTTTAATACGGGTTAATAACACCATGTTGAAACCCATATTCAAGATATGATGCTAACATGTCTAACATGTTCTGTGCATTATAGGAAAGCCATAAAATATCCCTGCTTCCTTGGAGACTGGCCATAGCAATCAATAAGTAATTCTCAAGTGTGGTCATTTACATTGTTGAAACAAACATAAATCAAATCTTTCATGTCCCTGGGGAAATTTTAGAATATACCAGAACAGAGACATGAACCATAAATCCTAAGTTAAAGGGATAGATGCAGCATTTTGGAGGAGGGGGGGTGGGGGGGGGGGGTGATTTGATTCTTGAATATATGTAAATAGTCTTCAGAAGTACTAGAAATGTATGAAAATCGCATAATTCCTTCAAAAATATCTCAAACTAAGAATTTCTCTTCTTAATGCTATATATCTCTTTTCTATTGACAGTGTCCCAAGACACTTTCAAACACGGATAATTCTGGACACACATGGATTTGAAGGCTCAAACTTTGAAGTAGAAAGTACTCAAGGGCAAGACAAGCTGTTATAACAGATCCCAAGGCCAAAGACTAGAAGTAGAAAGATCTGACAGCAAGACTAGCTGTAAAAAAGGACATGATTCGATTCTTAAAAAAAGATCAACAGAATATATCAAAATCCTACATTTTCTCTAAAATGTCAAATGTCTGGTTCTAAATTAGGTTGTTCAAATATTGCATTCAGAAAAAAAAAACGTTTTATTTTCAATTTCAAAATTGGTAATTGAACAGTAATTGAAATTTTAAAATTAGTTTTCAATCCAGACTGTTAAAGGGATTGTAAAGAGTTTTCTAAAGTTTTTTTATGTGTATCAGATAATTCTGGACACACATGGATTTGAAAGCTAACATTTGGTGAACTGTGAACACTATTACTGAATGATTCAGCTAAAAATTCCCGTTTCTGAGACTAAGGTATGATTGATCAAAATGTTGGTTAACCTGTCATGTTAAACAAAAGCTTTTACAATGGATAATTACATCATATTTATTGCTTAATGATTGGTTATAAGAAAAATTCCATTGCTTCCATTATGAGCTGTTGAATGGGCATAAAAGATATCAAAAAGCAATAATTGCGTCTGGTATAAGCTACACTATAGGCAAGAATATCATATATTATCTAACCTGGTAACAATGTGTATTAGACAGACGACCTCCTTCTATTAACAGGAAAATGGAGTAATCTAAAAACAGAAAAACAAAACAAAATAATTTAATAATGCAAAAAATGGGGTAGACTATCTTAATGTGGTAACAAAGTTAATCAGTATTGACAGAAAAATGACAAGTTAATGGCAGAAAAGGAAATAGTAGGAACGCAGTATTGATTTTCTTCAATATGAGGATAATAATCACTTTATCAAAAATCCTTAAACAGATTGTGAAGAGGTTTTCTTAACTTTTTATTTGTATCGAGGACAATGATAGCATCAATTTACACCATTCCAATTTTCATTCCAACGTCTGTGGTTCTTGTAATTTCATTAAAACTAACATGTTTTATGACGTCACTAGAGAGGAAATCAGTGTCCTCGATACAAATAAAAAGTTTAGAAAACATCTTTACAATCCCTTTAAAAAGCTAATGCAGATAAGCAATGCTATGTCGCCTAGTGTGCAATGAGGAAATTATGCCAATACAGCAGAACACTAAAACTGTGTTTGTGTGTGATGACATCACTAATCGCAAAGGGCTGTATTATGTGATAAAGCATATTTTGCGATTAGTGATTACAGTTGGCTGTGACCCCCACAAAACAGGGCCTAGTTTTTCTGTCTGCACACCAGCCTACAACTATCAAAATATCTATTAGAGGCTGGAATGGAGACAGATGTGAACTGATCTTAAAGGGATTGTATTGGTTTTATTAAATTTATCATGTGTATTGGGGACACTTAACTTAAGACCTTATGTGAAGCAAATTTTGCAATTAATGGCATCATCAAAGACTTATTTTTTGTGGAATTGCAGGAACCACAGACATCTGATTGAAATTCGAAATTGTGCAAATTGATGCTATCAGTGTCCCCGATACACATTTACAAAACCAATTTACAATCCCTTTAAAGTCATAGAAAGAAATGAACTAATGTAGATTTTATGTATTGAAAAAGTGACATTGAAAAAATGACATTGATATATTGACATTGGAATAGGAATATTATAAATGTCAAGAGGTATAATCCATTATAACATCACTTCAATTACTTATAGCTTTCCAAATACATCTCATCAGTCAAAATACGCCATCACATTATCTGGTTTGTTTGAAGGCTTCAGGCCTCTTTCCATTGAAGAGACTTTTAGATTGTGTTTGATGAAGTCATCAGGGCTACTTTTGTATCACAATGAAGTGGAGATGCACAAGTAGAAAATGTCAATCAAACTAGAAAAATTATGTATGATCGAAGCAGATCAGTCTTACTCTTTTGGAAACACCTGATGGTACTTCTCTTTAAAGGAGTTCACTATTAAACAAAGTTATTCCTCTTTGGACGATATTTTTGATTGACGGAATACATAATACCTACATACCTAAATATACATAATACATACATATACATTTTACATATACTTCAATTACATATACTTTAATTACATATACACACATTATACATACATTTATATACATTGCACATACATCATAAGTTCATATACATACACTAGTCCGCAACATCTGAGTCTATTCGAGCCTCTGATGGATATTTTGACAGTTGTCAGCAGGAGTAGAGTGAAGAAAAAGACCCTGTTAAATGGTGATTTTCCACACCTCCAAAGATGTGTTTTTTCTAATACAATATTGAATCACGTGAGTATCACGTGACTCTGTGACCTTTGAATTTTTGGCTGCGCACACAGTTTTATTTGGCCGTTGCTAGATCTGTTTCGCCAAAATAGAAATTGATGGAACCAGTGTAGGGAGAAAATGATGGTATGACTGAAGCAAATACATTATACATACACACATATATATATTATAAATACCTATACATCCATTATAATTACATATACATAAACTATATGATGCATTATACATACATACATTATATATATATATACATTATACATACATACATTATACATACAATAATCATATTGTAAGGTCATGAACAGAATATGGCTTACCTGTTATAGAAGCAACAAAACCAACTAGAATAATTCCTAAACCAAATCCAGCTTGTCTCAATGCAAATGGTACACCTGAAAGTAAAGAAAAATAAACAAGAATGAATTGACTTGAATCCATGTGAGTTAAAAAACTGAAATAAAACTGGGACCACTCGATTGATGAGTTCTGCATGTTCGGGACTCAAAGAATCAACCAGACATTCAATAAAACATGTTGGAACAGATTTAAGCACGCTTTCCACGTGTGCTGAAAAAATAGTAGGTGCAGAATTCAAAATGGCGGAGCAGGAATTAGATGGGAAAATTTTGAATGTGCATATCTGCTTTCATAAGGTAAGCCAATCAGTAATAGTGTTCACAGCTCAATGTCGATATCTAAGCCATCAAATACATGTGTATCTAGGATTAAACAATTACAAAATTAAAAAGATGACTTGTCTTTTTGAGACGCTGCCATATATAGAAAATATATATTTAGAATTGAAAGTAAAATTCCTAGTTTGGGTATATTTGAAGAGATTTTGAGATTTTCGTGCATTTTAGTACTTCTTATAAAGACTATTAAAGCACAATAAAGACCCAAAATCTATCCTCGAAAATGCTGACTGTTCCTCTTTAACATCTTTGAAGGTCAGTTGTAAAAGTTATTTGAAATTTAAGAAGAGAATTATCAGCATTATTTTATTTTAAAACCACACAAATAAATATTATTGTAAATAATACGTTTTGTGTTTCAACCAATCCTGTGGTGTGTGGTTATTTTCTGCATACTATTAATAAAACAACATCCGGGTCATTCTTCAAGAAACCCGCCAAGGCTGTTAAACACTTGTTGTAATTTTGCAGTTTTTAAACTACGATTACCAGCCGTTTACTTGCCGATCGGCTTTTGTTTCTTGTAAGATAAGTAGCATATTATTGTCTGATTAATTTCAGTGTTTGAACGGATCGTGTCAGCGACGAGTTAGTCATAATATTATTAAAAAAAAAGCGTTTGGTGCTTGGCCTCGTTTTCGTTTGGTTGATACAACATGGCGGGTTTTCTTCCTGTACATGAGCGTGTGCCTCTTTATTCCGTAACAGCTGGGGCTGTGTTTGGCGTATTTTATCATTATTGTTTTAGCCCAACAGGAATATGAGCATTATTAGATATTTGAGTTGTTTTATGTAGTGTAAGTTTTACACCAATATTTTATGTTTCTCATATTCTTGTGGTCATGCAAAATAAATGACATTTCACACCATAAAATTGTTCTGATATGTTTGACGGATGTGGGGAGTTGGGTTGAGGACACAAATGGCAGCCCTGATCACAGTGCTTGGTATCAAATTACTCTTTTACATTGCAGGAATTTCAATCCTGCTGAGAGCTAATCATTTATTCTAGATGCAATCCTTCATTTATTCCCAGGGTTAACTCATTAGGATTGCTACCAACACATCAATTAGTCCAGTTTGAAATTAATATGGCTGGATACAAGATTCTTGCAGGTTGACCAGCACAGTGTATGCATTTTAATTAAAGGAATACTACCTCTTAGAATGGACATAAAATTTAAAGTCTCAAACTTGGTCAATAAGTGTATATATTCATCAGTTAGACTTACCAGGTACCATGACTAAAGAATAGAATCTCTATATAAGATGATATATCCATTAAACTAAATAATTATTGAAACACTGTTCTAAGCATATTTCATAATTACTTAGTTTTATAGATTTATTAGATTATAGAGAGATTCTGTTGTATAGTTATGACACCAGGTAAGTCCAGTGATGAACAAAGACTCATTTTGAAAAATTCTATATTTTGGTCATAATAAGAGGTGTTATACCTTTAAATAGCTATGCCAGACCACCCCTTAACATGCCTACAGAGCAAACACTATTAGCTTTGTGGAGTAGCTAAAAACATGCCTTGCTGTCCAATTCCGATGTACATGAACCACAAAAACATTTGTATTATATGATAGCATATTTTGCAGACAAAGATTCTAATTATCATACAACAGTACTGTTCCCAAGTTCATAACACAGGTTAATAAAAATGTTATGAACTCATAGAACAGGTTATTAACTATGTAAATTTGTTCATGCATTCATGCACCATGTAAACAAAACAACATGGCATTCATTGAAGTTTGCCACTCACTTACTTGAAGCTAAATTGTTCCAATTTGATTAAAAGTTTCAATTTAGTTATCACAAACATGTTTCTCTAGATCTTATTTGTTTCAAGCAATACATCTTTGTGCAAAATTTCAATTCAATTCTCAAATAAATGTTAAAGATGAGTTTCCTTATTTTTTGGCGTAAAATTAAGCAAACAATTTGATTAATTTGTGTTTCTAATGAATTTATATCTTATCATATCATTATATTCTTATTGCATAATGTCCCTGTATGTACAGTCTGGATAAACAACAAATGACTTTTTAACCTTTCTTGATTGTTCACTCATTGGAATTCTGCGGGTAATTCTCCCCTAATTTAGCTAATTATGAATTAATTATAGACATGTGAGACAAATTGGTATTTTTTCAAGTCATTTGAACATCTCTACTTTCTATTCATATAAGTAATAGCATGTTCATTATCATAAATGAAACCCATTTTTAATTTTATATCAATTGAAATATCAATAACTTTCAAAGGAACGAATCCTTTGTGAATCAATCTATCTCAAGATTCAAAGGCACATGAAAAAGAAATAGCGAGTGATGTTAGGTTTTGATTGACAGGTTGACAAGCAAGACTAACAGGAAACTATAGGAACATTCAATATAGTTTTATTGAGAATGAGAAAAGTCTGGAATTTCAAAGTTCCATGCAAATTATTTAACAATCATAGATGGAATCCTGTCTGAAGAGGAACTGTTTGATAATGAAGCCACAAACGACTTGCATATTCATATACGAGTTTGAGAATTGATCAATCGATATCTTTTAAAGTGCAATATTTTATTCCATCATTAAACGGATTGTAAAGAGGTTTTCTAAATTTTTTATGTGTATCAAGGATACTGAGCATCAATTTGCACCCTTTACAATTTTCAGTCAAACGTCCATGGTTCCTGCAATTCCAGAACAACTAAGTATTTGATGATGTCACTAATCGCAAAATATTCTTTATCACAAAAGGCCATTGGCGATTAGTGACATCATGAAACACTTAGTTTTAGTGGAATTGCAAGAACCACAGACATCCAATTGAAAATTGGAATGGTGCAAATTAATGTTATCAGTGTCCCCGATATACATAAAAAATTTAGAAATCCTGTTGACAATCCCTTTAATATATTCTATTCATTTCTCAAACTTTCTTATTTTCCCACATCTATAGAAGAATAAATGAATTCCCAAGTTTAACCTAAATCTAAACTCAGACACCAGAAGATCACGAGACAAGGATTTTCCATCACCAGACATCGTTAATGATCTAATATCATGTATTAGGAAAAGGTCATAATCTATCTTTGTCAACGTTTCATTAGTTTATTATCATGAAACCTTCAAGGACATGGTGTGACCAGTGACCGCCACAAAATGGCAACAGACAAATCAGTCTCTTTAATTTGACTACGGTACTGTAAAATTGGTTTGGTGGATCTGTCCCTTTTTTAAATAAAACAGCTTCCTTATGCCGTTTAATATATATTCTGAGGGTTACGTCACTCATTCAAGTTCTGGCAGTGGACTTAAAGACTGATTCTGTTGGTGAATTAGATTGTTGTTTAGGTCAATCTATCTTTAAAGTGAATGGTCATTTTTAATGGTCAATCATACGTTGGTCTCAGCTAAGCTGATCGGTTAAAGTATTTACAGCTTACCGTCAAAATTTATGTCCAAATTTATTGACATCATAGATATAGTAGACTCAATCATCCTGTTCCACTTCCTCTACACACAGTTGCGATAAAAGATGTCTGGGTGTCAGAGACTACCTATATCAACAAGACAACTTACAGATGCCCTACGTGTTCCGAAAGAAGATAAGCTCGTGAACGAAATAAATAAAAAGTAAAATTCCTAGTTTGAGATATTTTTGAAGGAAATATGCAATTTTCGTACATTTCTAGTACTTCTGAAGACTAATTACATATATTCAAGACCCAAATCGACCCCTCAAAATAGCCAACAATGGCCTTTAAACTCTTAACTATAAGATTAAATTCATAATAATAATTCTACATCAATGGGCCATTGCTTCTGTTGCTACTAATCCCAGTGGCCATTCTTCATCCTATTACCTTTTACACATAGCTACTAAATTGATTATCTTACAGATGGGTTTCCTTATTTTTTTAGTGTCAAATTAAGCAAACTATTTGATTAATTGGTGTTTCTATTGAATTATCATGTATTCTTAATCATATCATTATGTTATTATTGCATATTATTAAGAGTTTTAACCAATTATAAATGTCCATGTATGTACTGTCTGGATAAACAAAAAAAAACTGATAATTCTCTTCTAATTTAGCTAATTTTGAATTAATTATGGACATGTGAGACAAACTCACTGGTATTTTTCCAAATTATAAGAACACCTCTACTTTCTATTCATATTAACATAAATATTAGCATTTTCATTTTCTTAAATGAAAATAAGGGAACCCATCTTTAAATGTCTGTTATAAATAATTCATTCTTGTATAATTCTATATTCTTATAGATAAGAATGCCATGCTTCAATGCTTCACAAAATGTGAAAGACAATTCTAATAAGGAATCATTTCATGCTGAAGTGATTCCTCTTCCAGAATAGAATGGCATCAAAATTATTGTTTATGAAATAACACAGTAACAGATTGATATTAGAAAGGGAATTACAAAGCCACTTAAAGGGACAGAGGCGCCAATTATAATATAATAAAATAATAATTTAACTATTTATTCATTTTGTCCACAAGCTTCTCTTTGGGGTATCTGAAAGTTGAACGTCTTGTTGATATCGTCTCTGACACCAAGACATCTTCTGTCACAGCTTTGGGAAAAGAAGTCAGCATGATGATTGAGTCTAATGTATACATATTCAAAATAATAAGTCTCTTGAAAATAACTTTCAAACATATGGACACGCATGGATTTGAAGGCTCAAATTTCGATGGTGAGCTGTGAACAGGATTGCTGATTAGTTTAGCTAAAAAAAATCCTGTTTCTGAGACTAAGGTACAATTGATAAAAAAAATTGCGCATCAGTCCCTTTAAAGGGCTGTTTGTTTCCAAGATGTAATGTCCACCTACACATGTTGTGTAAATCCAGTAACTGGTTCTATATAAATAGCTTGTAGTTATTGACATGAGTTGGTTAAAGTCCAACTCTGAGATTGACAATCAATAAAAAATATGTGTATTTATCATTATTTAAGGTGGAACTCAACAGGATTTAAATCAGTGTCACGATAGGTTTCATATTGTGCTACAAGAGTCATGATAAGATGTGTATCGCACCACAAGAGTCATGACTCATGATAAGATATGTATTGCACTGGAGAGGTCAAGATATGATATGTATCACACTATAAGGGTCACGTAAAGATATGTATTGTGCTACAAGGGTCATGATTAGATGACTAACACACTACAAGGGTCATAATAAGATGTGTATTAGACTACAAGGGTCATAATAAGATGTGTATTAGACTACAAGGGTCATGATTAGATGACTAACACACTACAAAGGTCATAATAAGATGTGTATTAGACTGCAAGGGTCATAATAAGATGTGTATTAGACTGCAAGGGTCATAATAAGATGTTTATTAGACTACAAGGGTCATGATATGATGTGTATCCCACCACAAGGGTTTATGATACGATGTGTATTGCACTATCAGGGTCACGTTATGATACATATGCTACAAGGGTCATGTAAAGATGTGTATCGTGCTACAAAGGTCAGGTTAAGATTCATATTGTGCAACAAGGGTCACAATTGATACGTATCGTGCTACAAAGGTCACGATTGATACAATATGTATCATGATAGGGGTAATAGGGTCAAATTTAACGGTTTAACTTCAAAATTATAAATAGTAATTTATAACTTTGTAACTGTGATATTTGGTAATATAGTTGACAGAAGTGGTTAGCATCCACTGTCTAATAAATAGTTTCTATATATATTAATTTATAACTTTATAACTGTGATATTTGGTAATATAGTTGATAGGAGTGGTATAACATCCACTGTCTAATAAATAGTTTCTATATATATTAATTTATAACTTTATAACTGTGATATTTGGTAATATAGTTGATAGGAGTGGTATAACATCCACTGTCTTATAAATAGTTTCTATATATATTAATTTATAACTTTATAACTTTAATATTTTGTAATATAGTTGATAGAAGTGGTTAGCGTCCACTATCTTATAAATAGTTTCTATATATATTAATTTATAACTTTATAACTGTGATATTTGGTAATATAGTTGATAGGTGTGGTATAACATCCACTGTCTTATAAATAGTTTCTATATATATTAATTTATCACTTTATAACTGTGATATTTGGTAATATAGTTGATAGAAGTGGTTAGCGTCCACTGTCTAATAAATAGTTTCTATATGTATTAATTTATAACTTTATAACTGTGATATTTGGTAATATAGTTGATAGGAGTGGTATAACATCCACTGTTTAATAAATAGTTTCTATATATATTAATTTATAACTTTATAACTGTGATATTCAAGTCAGTAAAATCCCATTTAACAGGGCCTATCTTTTCTGACTCTACTCCAGCCATCAATTAACACCTTGTCTTCACATCTCAAACCAAAACAGAAATATCCATATTCATGAATTAAAGGGTTTGTAAAAAAAAATTGAAAACAATTGAAAATCGGAATGCTGCTATCAGTGTTCACGATACACATACAAAATTTAAAAAACCTCTTTACAATCCTTTAATTCAAAGCTGTCAGTAAAAATGAACATTAATTGGCACGTAAAAAAATGTGTCAAATATCAAGTGTGAAAACATCTATTTCACTGTTAAATGGCTGTCAAGTTTAATGGAATTTCAGAATTTTTTATCTAAACGAACGATGATTTAGAATGAAATGCAATGGTTTTTATATTCCTAGTTGCCTTTTGTTCAACAAATTGATTCACTTAAAGATGGGTTCCCTTATTTTCATTTATGAAAATGAAAATGCTAATACTTATATGAATAGAAAGTAGAGGTGTTCTAGTGACTTTGAGAAATACCAGTTTGTCTCACATGTCCATATTTCATAATTAGCTAAATTAGACGAAAATTACCAGCAGGATTCCAATGAGTGACCGATCAAGGAGGGCCAAAAAGTCTTTTTTTTTGTTTATCCAGACTGTACACACATGGACATTTATGATTGGTTAAAACTCTTAATTTATGCAATAAGAACATAATGATATGATTAAGAAAATGTGAAAATTCATTAGCAACACCATTTAATCACCAAATTTGCTTGATTTGACACTAAATAAAAAGGAAACCCATCTTTAATGGATGATGGTAGGAATCTGTAGAGGCAAAAGAAAGTCTTATATAAGAAAGTTTCAAAGCAAATAACTAAGTCATCTTAAATCTTAATTAATAGTTAAGCCCCACCTACAGCAGATTCAAAGCCAGCAAGTTCAAAATCTATATAAAAATCTGTATAAGGAAGACAATTCTGTTAATCAAAAATCTTGTCCAAAGAATGGCAAAATCAGCAGTAAAGGTAGTATAGTAGTGGTGTTTCGAAAAGAGTAAGCATTGTTTATTCTCCACTGTTACAATGGTCAAAATCACAACAAGATCAATTCATGTCTGACCAAACAAATCAGCCAAAATGCCAGAAGCAGATTTATTGAACTTATGAAGGAGTTCTCCATTAAGATTATAAAAAGGTTAATTTGACAAGCGTTCAAGAGGGCTGTCGTTAGACCTTAACTGAAGTGGCTATATAAAAAATAAAAGCTTATAAAAAAAAACAGAACGAAAGTTTGATCTAATTTTAAAGGGACAGATGTGTCAATATTGGGGCTTGATTTTAGTCTTGAATATATGTAAATAGTCTTCAGAAGTACTAGAAATGTACGAAAATCACATAACTCCTTTAAAAATACTTCAAACTAGGAATTTTACTCACTATTTCTATATATATCTTTTCTATATCAGAGTATCTTAAAATGACAAGTCGTCTTGTTAACATTCAAACGCAGATAATTCTGGACACACGTGGATTAAAATTTCCATGGTGAGCTGTGAACATTATTACTCATTAGCTTGGCTAAAAATTTCCGGTTTCTGAGACTGGTAAAAAAAAATGGCCTACCTGCCCCTTTAATTAGACTGAAACTGTCTAATGGTTTCCTTATTGATTAGAATCCGTCTTCATTAGTCATAATACATTATAAATAGACCAAAACAATAGGGCTCAAATATAATCAGGAAGTCAGGTAGAGATGGTTTAATGTACTTTTAATCAGTAACAACTGTTATATGTCATGTCTTGTCTCAGCTTTCTTTTTTAAAGGAACAGATGCACAATCTTTTTAACCAATCATACCTTAGTCTCAGAAACGGAAATTTTTTAGCTAAGCTAATAAGTAATAGTGTTCACAGATCACTGTCGAAATTCACCTTTCAAATCTTTATATTTCTACTATCACTCCCTTCTATAAACCAGTTATGCAAACTGGCGTTTATTTTTCGATAAACTGTAATTTGTCACATGAGGCTATGACGTTGTCAAAGCACAACAATGATTTAATCTAAGATTGTGGCAAATTCAAGGAACGGATCATATAAAAAGATGAAAAGTATCTGAATATAAATATAACAATTATATGTTGGTCCCACTAGCATTTATTCAGTTTGTCATGTGATCAACTGAGTTTACACACCAATAATGCTCGTGAGACCAATGTATAGTTCTTAAATGTGTCCAGAATTATTCGCGTTTAAAAGTTAAAAAGACCAGTCGTCTTTTCTTGAGACTCTGCCATATTTAGAAAAGACATCAATAGAAAGAGGAAAAGAAATTCTTAGTTTGAGGTTTCTATGAAGGAATCATGCGATTTTCGTACATTTTTAGTACTTCTGAAGACTATTTACATATATACAAGACTCAAATCAACCCTCAAAATTTCTTACCAGTTCCCTTAAATCTTTTATATTAATGCTGCTCATTGGCGAATCACAGACATCTGATTGAAAATTGGCATGGTGCAAATTGATGCTATCAGTGTCCTCGATACACATAAAAAATTTAGAAAACGTCTTTACAATCCCTTTAATAACAGATAAAGCTTCACAACTGGGTTTGTTATACCTATTGGAGAGTTCACATACTCTTATGTACGAAGAGATTTTTAATGAAAATAAAGCTTAACTTACCAATAATGCCTGATCCAATGATAGAATTAATAAAGTTAAAACTGGCTGTATAAATGCCAGATTTGGGCTGTCCATCATCTTTTTCTTCTACCAGCTGTCTGGTATCACCTATACTACTAGTATCAGAGAACTGCGAGAAATCAGATGTAGTCTGAAATACACAAATTAATGAGCACACATTATGTCTTCAAAATTTGTATTTACAGAGGACAATTTTCAGCTAAAATTTGTGAATTTTTGGAGTGAAATTTCTAGGAGGGAAATGTGTTTCTTTTCAATGTCAACTTACAAAAGATTATATTTTTATCAACACAAAGACATTCTAGGACTATCAGTACTATTTTGAGGCTGATATTCCAATTCTCTTCAAAAATATCGAAAAAATTCAAAAAAACGCTTTACTTTGCTCAGACAATAAGGGCCAATGGTAGTTCATCATAATGTTTTTTTTTTAATGAAATTTGTCTCTGTCTGCATTAACACAATGAAAGTTATGGTGATGCCCAACACTAATTTACTGTCATTGTAATGGTCATTTGAAATTATGTTAAAAAATACACATTTTCGAGGTGTGGAAAATCCCTATAAAACAAGGCCTAGTTTTTTTGACTCTACTCCAGCTGATAACTAATAAAATATCTATCAGGGGTTAAAATAGAAATGAAATGAATGGAATTTTATGTCCTACTTTTCTGCACCATGTGCACTTGAAGACGGGCAACGCCATGCAGGGTACAATGGGGGAAATTTGGCATTAGAGAGACTAAAATAGAGGCAGATGTTTCGGATTGTGAGCTTTCTAATATAACAAAATTCTAATTGTCTGGCAAATTTTGGATTCAGTTTGGTCAAAAAGTAATTGATATTTGATCTTTACTTTGTCATGTGTATACAAATTACTCAATTCTTTTTATTGGTATTAGTATCAGTACTAAAGAATTCATTTAGTACTAAGTAATATTAGTATCTAGAGGATACTAATAAATCAATATGCAACCATCTTTAACTATACTAGTCAATAGTACTTATATCAATAAATCTGATTAACAGTTAACACTTGATGGCATTTAATATTGAGTTATCAATATTTATACAGAGGTCACAGTGTTTTAACTCTTGGGCCAATAGACCTTATTTACGCCTCGCTTTCGAGACACTGAAAGCGAGGTTCATAATGCAAATTATGTCATCCATTTAAAAGACGGCGATGTTGTATTGAAGGAATCGTCTATGTGATGTCACTTAACATAATGAAGGTCACTAAACATAATGAATGAATAGACTATGTGACGTAACTAAACACTTGATCAGCAGTGAGAAAATAGGCTTAAAACTGCCCTTTCTCAGAAATGTGTGAAGGTAAAATTCATTTGAAAGTAGCATAAAATAGCTTAAAGCAAATTATTTGATTAATTGGTGTTTCTAATGAATTATCATGTATTCTTAATCATATCAGTATGTTCTTTTTGCATATATTTAAGAATTTTAACCAGTCATAAATGTCTATATATGTACAGTCTGGATAAACAAAAAAAAAGACTTTTTGACCTTTCTTGATCGGTCACTCATTGGAATTCTGCTGGTAATTCTCTTCTAATTTAGCTAATTATGAATTAATTATGGACATGTGAGACAAACTGGCATTTTCCAAGTCATAAGAATACCTGTACTTTCTATTCATATAAGATTTAGCATATTCATTTTCATTTATAGAGAACCCATCTTTAATCAATTCTGGTATTAATGCTGTAAAATATGATTAGTTAGTAGCTTGGAGAAGGAGGCTTCCAAACTTTCTTTCCAATGTGTCCCAACCAACAAATTCAGGCAATAATTAGACCACCTTTAGATATACCTTTAATAATGAAAGTGTATTTTTATCAGCCATGAGGGAATCGGTGATCAATGAGTTTGATTAGATTTATAATTAGAAACAAGACAAGGAGCACTATGGGTAATGTTTCTTGTCAATTCACTGCCTTGATAGCTAATCAATATACTTAAACATGTATTGCTTCATTAGTTCATTTAAAGGAGGACTCCCAGTTAGATATTTCACTCTAAATTTATTATTTTGGGTTCTAACAAAAACCTTTTCCACATCTTTGAAAATAAAATGTTAATTTTTATTCCATTACCACATATCGCGATACATAGGTTATCGCGACCCTTGTATCCCGATGCGTAGCGTATCGTGCGATGAATGACAATACCCAGCACTAGTAGAAACGCCATTGGCTAAAGACTCCCACGGAGCATCTGAGAATGTTCTCCAAGACCCAAATCAACCCCCTGAAAATGGCTAATCTATCCCTTTAAAAGATACACAAAGTTTCAATTCTTACATATTTGGAAACAGAAATCCACAAGGTACTGCTCCTTTATTTCATCAATCACTAGTTATAGGGAAAGATAAATAATAAGTCGGCTAAGTCAATTAGACTATCAACTAATGACTTTATTTCCCTGACGAAGTCATCCATTATGGTATTAATTTTAATATTAGCCAATGTATGACCTCCGTTTTATGAAATTTTAACGAAGTTAAGGGAATAGAATATAGATGCTTTCTTGCTTATAGCCCAGACACACCGGATGGCGACCATTTGCAATGTTATGGCAACCAAACACGTACTGGATTGCCGGCAACTATAAAGACAATGCGAGAAAAAGTCCATTAAAATTGCAAAATGTTTAACAGTCGATCTAAAACTACTATTCGATAATGAGCATTCCCAAAAATGTACTGGACTGCCAGCAACCATGAAGAAGACCCAAGAAAAAGTCCATTAAAATTGCAAAATCAGTAATAGTGTTCACAGCTCATCGTTGAAATTTGAACCTTCAAATCCATGTGTATTCATAATTATTCATGTTTGGAAGTTAAAAATTCGACTCAAATCTTATTTTAAATATCCTAAATACCAAAGACACTTTTAGCATCAATTTGTACCATTCCAATTTTCAATCAGACGTCTGTGGTTCCTTCAATTCAACTAAAACTATTTAAAGCGATTTTGCTAAAACTAAGTGTTTGATGACGTCACTAATCGCAAAATATGCTCTATCACATTAGGCCCTTCGCAATTAGTGACGTCATAAAACATTTAATTTTAAAAACCTCTTCACAATTCCTTAAACTCATCATCATATTCTGACATATTGTATATAATTGGATGGTTAATATCAGATGACCTTGACCTTGAAAGAAGTATCTTTCCTTGCTATTAAAATAAGCTTAGCTGTTAATAGCATTATATAATTAAACACAGATCAGCTGGCGGACATTGCTTTGTTTTCAAGCAGACCATTGTATTAATCCATCAAGTTGGAAGTACCGGTCTCCATGAATCTGACAAGATCTACCGGTACCAAATCAATAGTTTTCAATCTTGAAGGTTAGATTAGTATTTATCTTTACCCGGCTGTTCTACGGCGGATGTAATCCAGGAAATCAGGAAATAGATTGAGTTTTGTGTGTGGGATGGAAAGCTGTTGAACCTGTTTAAATCCTAACAGTCATATTGCTTGGGTGACCTTGAATAAGTCATCTTTCCACATTCTATCATCAACTGATAATCTGGAGAAGAGCAATGACACAGCAGATACACTTTCAGTAGTTGCACCAGCCACCCAAGACTCAGGGGGTACAAATAGGGGGCAGACTGACTCTATGGGGGAACAATTGTAGTGGCTGAATATATATAAATATTCTTCAGAAATACTAGAAATGTACAAATATAAAATAATTCCTTCACAAATATCTCAAACTAGGAATTTCACTTTCTATTTCAATAGATGTCTCTCCTATTTCTATAGATGTCTTTTCTATATATGACAGTGTCTCTAGAAAAGACAAGTCGTTTTGTTAACTTTCAAACAGGGTTAATTCTGGACACACATGGATTTGAAGGCTCAAATTTTGACAGTGAGCTGTGAACACTATTACTGATTGGCTTAGCAAAAAAATTCCTGTTTCCAAGACTAAGGTATGATTGGTAAAACGGATGGTGAATCTGTCCCTTTAAACTTTTACATAATAAATATTGAATTTGTCTTTTAATTTAAATTTCTCAAGCATATTGTCTCAATGGCAGTCAATATTTCAAAGTAGGTCTCCACTGAAATTGCTATCTTTCTGTACAATATTTCATGAAAATAAAACGTAGTTAAAGATGGGTTTCCTTATTTTTTAGTGTTAAATTAAGCAAACAATTAATGATTAATTGGTGTTTCTAATGAATTATCATGTATTCTTAATCATATCATTATGTTCTTTTTGCATATAATTAAGAATTTTAACCAGTCATAAATGTCTATATATGTACAGTCTGGATACATAAAAAAAAGACTTTATGACCTTTCTTGACCGGTAACTCATTGGAATTCTGCTGGTAATTCTCTTCTAATTTAACTAATTATTTAACTATTATCAATTATGGACATGTGAGACAAACTGGTATTTTTTTTAGTTATTAGACCACCTCTACTTTCTATTCATATAATTATAGGCATTTTCATTTTCGTAAATGAAAATAAGGGAACCCATCTTTAAAGAAAATTTTGTTGCTGACAAGTTGACATTTTTCTTGAGCTGTCTATAATTGGCCAATTTAAAATTCTAACTAAGCTCTATAACCGATTTATATGCAAATTGCTCAGCGTCTTTTTTTCAAAACACAAGTTAGCAGCAAACATTTTTCTACACATAAAATATTATTGATCAATTTTGCCATAATTTTGTTGACTTAAAGGGAGAAATGGGAATTCTTCAGCTAAGCCAATCAGTAATATTGTTCACAGCTCACTGTAGAAATTTGAGCCTTCATATCCATGTGTGTCCAGAATTATCTGGAATTGCATGCTCAAATGACGACATGTCAATTTAAGATACTCTGAGATATATAGAAAGACATACATAGAAATAGTAAGTAAAATTCCTAGTTTGAGATATTTTTGAAGGAATTATGCGATTTCCACACATTTTTTGTTCTTCTGAAGACTATTTACATATTTTCAAGACTTTCATCAACCCCCCAAAATGGCACACTTGTCCCTTTAAAGAGAGAACATTTTTAACTTTGTTAATTATTGCACGATTAAAGAAAAATCAGACCAAACTTTCTCTTTTTTTTTATTTGCTTTCATTTTTAATATAGCAATTTCAGTTCCTTTCATTCCACTAAAACTTGATGGTGTTTGATGACATCACTAATCAAAAAATATTCGACATAAATCCCTTAGCAATTAGCGACGTCATCAAAACACTTAATTTTAGTGGAATTGCAGGAACCACAGACATCTGATTGAAAATTGGAATTGGTACATATTGATGCTATCAGTGTCCCTAATACACATAACAAATTTAGAAAATCTTTTCACAATCCCTTTAATGTGATAATGACTGCTTTGAGTTCTATCAGATCAAACCGTAAAAATAATTATCATTTCCTTCAAAATTGTGAATGAAAACCATTTTTCTGTGTTTGATCTATATGGTATGATTCCATTTAACGCCATTTGCATCAGTGCAAATTGAATTAACTCAAGTTTCCATCAAAAAATATCGCCCTTTATCACTGTGCCGTAATAAAGGCATTGATTTGGAAAAATGAAGAATACTCCACAATAAAATGGAATTAAGGAAATTTACTGACACACGATTCAATTACAAAGGAAAAATCAATTATTGGCTGTTTAATATTTTATCTGGATTAATGGCCTGCCACTGTGTTAAGGAGATAGAGAGAGCCTACAGGGTTTTAATTTACGCTATAATAGACCGAAACATCTGCCTCTAATCCAGCCTCTGATAGCTCTTTTGACAGTAAGTTGTGGGCTGGTGTAGGGACAGAAAAAATAGGCCCTGTTTTATCAGAATTTTTTTTTAATGAATTTTAATGAAACTGATCTCTGTCAGCCATTTTAAAACATGTGCGGTGTCAAAAGTTCAAAGGTCACAAAGTCACATGATACTATCAATACAAAAGTAAAGTTGATGCCCATCAATAATTAAAAATTTGCATAAAGATAATTTGATATCATGTTGGAAAAAACACATCTTTGGTGGTGTGAAAAATCCTCATTCAACAGGACCTAGTTTTTCTGACTCTACTTCAGCCAATAACTGCCAAAATATCTATCAGAGGCTGGAATAGAGGCAGATGTTTAGGACTATTTCTAGAACCAGTTCACTGACAGTTACAGTGATGCTCATCACTAATTTACAATGGGAAAATACGCATCTTTGGTGGTGTGGAAAATCCCCAATAAACAGGACTTTACTCCAGCCAATAACTGTCAATGAGGCAGATATTTTGGACTATGTCTAGATCAGTTTAAAGAAATTTGACCAATAAGCCAATAACTTTACTTTCCAAATATTTATCAGGCTGAAATAGAGGCAGATGTTGCGGACTAACATTATAAAAGACCATGAAAATGCCAAGAAGTTGATTTTTGTCCCTGGTGATTTGGGACTAGATTGGACTTGATTATTATTCTACGATAGTAACACCTTCAAGGCTATAGATGGTATTTTATTAATCTGAATAATTTACCATCAATATTTCACTTCATTTGTTTTCTATTTTGACTATTTTAAAGGTGTGGGCACATGAGCAGTCCTGGCTGGAGGATTTGTCACGGATTAGAGTCTTGTCTTGGGTTTCAACAATTAGGCACGGGAACATGAGGAGACAAAAATCTCCAGTCGGTCATTTTCCACCTTGTAGATAATCACGTACAGAGCATGCATTGAAAGGAAACGAATATGATTGGATGAGGATGATCTGTCTTGCAGGCGATAAAACTATCAGAAACAATTATCAAACATGTTTAAAATTATAAATCCTCTCAGCAACACGATAATCATTGAAGCACGGACAC